TAATCACGGTTATTTTCTTGACCAGTAGGGTGGTGGTGGTGGGGAGTGGGTAGGTTGAAAGCCTTATTGCTTCAAGCATATGCATGGATTCTGTACTGCTTTGCTTCTCAAAATGCTGCCCAGAACACTAGTTCTTTGAGCTGATGAAAGATCGTCCCAAGGTTCTGTGGTCGTATAAATTCAAAGAACATTTCATGCTCTCTCTGGAGATTCACAATACACAGTAGGACAGTAAAGGCTCTGAGAAGGTCTGGAGTAAGGGAACCTTTCTAACATTATTTACTCTCAGTTTCCCAAACACTTTTAAAAAGCTAATAAAACCCTTACCTTCTTCCCTAACCCCTGCAAGTAGAAATCCTCCTGTCCAAGGCAATCAAGAGTAAGAGTTGGTTGGTCAATCATAAAAAGTCTGTTAAACCAGAGAATGCTTTAAAAATGACATGCACTATCTAAAAAATTTTAAATTAAAAATTCACAAATATACAAACATTTGTCAATCTTCTAACATGGACTCTAGGCTTTTTCTTTGTATGCACCCACTCATTGGAATTCTGTACCATAAATCATAATACAAGGTGTGTGGTCTACAATTTTGTGTGTGTGTGTGTTTTGGTTGCTTTTTATGGAGATAAATCTTAAAGACCATGAAATAACCCAAACGCCTCATTCTTTGTTTTTTTAAAGAAGTTTTAGGTTGACAGAATAATTGGACAGTTCAGCACCCTCACTCAAAACACACAGCCTCCCTGACTATCAACATCCCACACCAGTGGGTACAATTGCTACAACTGATGAACCTACATTGATACATCATTGTCATCCAAAGTCCATAGTGTACATTATGATTCACTCCTGTGAAACTATGGATTTGACAAATGTATAATAGCATGTATCCACTATTATAGTATCATATAGAATAGTTTCATGGCCCGAAAAATCCTCTGTGTTCTGTTTACTCCTTCTTCTCTCCTCTCCCAACTGCTATCGATCACTGAACTTTTTCCTGGCTCCATGATTTTGTCTCTTCTTGAATGTCACATAGTTGGCATCACACAATATGTAGTCTTTTCAAGTTGACTTCTTTCACTTAATAATATGCATTTAAGTTTCCTTCATGTCTTTTCATGATTTAATAACTCATTTCTTTTTACTGTTCAGTAGTATTCCATTGACTGGATGTACCACAATTTATTTCAATTTAGTTTTTATAGAACAGATCTTTCTTTTTGTACTATTTCATTAGTTTACATAGTAAGTAAATTACTCAAACACAATGACAAGTAAAACTGGCACAAACAGGTTTGGAGCAAACAATGATCAGTGATGCTAGGTAAACATATGCAACCCAAAGGCTGTAATTAGTGAGCACCTTGCTGGCTTGTATTACTAAGAAAATGGAAAGATTCAGGTAATCCATGAGTCTGTGGTTGGGAGAACTACTGCATTAACATGTTGAGGAGTTAGTATTCTAGGGCACACTGCTGGGGAAATGCTGACTCAGCCCATGTTCTCCCAGATGTTTTGATTGTGCTTCTTTCAAGAAAAGCATTTTTGTTGATTCACCTTTAACATGTCTTTTTATGTATTTATAACTACCTCCAGTACTACCACTAGCTAATATTGCAAAACATGCTGCACATAGGGTGAGATTCACCAACAATGAGAGTAAATCTTAATCCACATTCCCAATAGTTTCTTTGACTTAAAAAAATTTTTGTCTGACTCCTTAGATGTGATTAGTTTATCTTTTTAAACCTCATAACATGACTGAAGATAAGCATGAACTAGGATTAAAACTGTCAACTCTATTATTTCTTATTATTCTCTTGTGGACTGCCTCCCCATGGTTACGTTAGGATACCTTACTAAAGAGTGTAACATGGATTTCTTATGTACGGACTTAATCTATTTAGAAATTCTAGTATTTTCTTCCCCCATCCCTGGGCTATATGTCTCTACTCTGGAGACTGCTGGCCTTATAACTGCTCAGAGAAATTGAGAAAGTCAATTAAAATTTACTTCAATGCCAAAATGTCAACGATGGGGAATGCAGAGCCTCTTTGAATCAGTGGAGCCTCTCTCTCTGTTAAGCAAGGCCTGAGGCTGAGCGAGGATGTCTGGGGCTGCTTTTGATTGCTCTCAGGGGGAACACAAACTACCAAGAACTAGGTGTGGCTGTGACATTTTCAGATGCTCTCAGACAAACTGGAAGCTCATTCAGAAGCTTATAAAAAGATTAAGCTCCAGGACAAGGTGGAGAGGAGGGAAGTAAACAGGAGAAATATTTAAGCCTGTGATGTCCCCTGTTCTCAATACTCTCCATTTCCAGCTCCCTCTGGAGAAACCCCTAGCCCCAAGCTAGCTTTGACCACAAAGCGTGGCCACTGCATGAAGAAGCAGGACCTGTTGGAAGCCCCGATTCACTATGGCTGCTTCCTACTGCTGAGATGAGCAATAGGTGAGTGAGATATCCAAGGTTTTACCATCTTCTTCCTCTGTGAGACCCAGCCCACAGTGGTCTCAGGAAGACAAAGTCGAAGAATACAAAAGCACCCCTGGTACACAGTGGGGACTCCATCACTTGTACTGGGGGACACTCAGCAGAGGAGGAGATCCAGGCCTCCGCACCAAAGCATGCTGAACAGACCCCAGACAAACCAGCAATAACAGAACACTCTCACTACTGCTGTTTATTTTAAAAATCTTATGAGTACAGAATCTGAACAAAACTTTAGGATTGGCCAGTATATTCTAGCCAGAGTAAGGTTTGGAAATATCAACCTTACCACCATTAAAAATAACTCAACCCCTCCCCTTTGCCTGACTCCCACCAGCTCCTTACTGAAGGCCCTTGACAAGCACAGCTGATGAGCACCTTGCACAAGGCAACACACAGCACAGCCGCAAGGCAAAGACACTTCCCCCCCTGGGCCCCCACCTGGCCGTCTCATACGAACCACGGCCCTAAATCACGCAGATGGCTGCACCTGCTGTATGCTTGTGGATTTTCTCCAAGGACTCAGAAGGAAGCTACCTAGATGCAGCAAACACAGCATAAACACCAGAGGCTTTGTGCCTGTGAAATGCTCTGTAACTGGAGCTCAATCACACCTGGCTCTCTGGTGACATTCAGAGATACTCAGTTGGCGGGGCTTCCCCTCTTGCCACACAGCCTTTCCCCAAAGTCCTGCTTGCAGAATTCAGTTACTCGAAGCACTGATAAAACCACAGGGTCTTAGTGAGGACAGAGGTTATTAATTAACATTACAATGTCTGTGGACCTTGTCTCAAAGGGAAACCCTAATTAATTTTGTCGGTCAGACAATTCTCCTTAGCTCAAAGATCGGGGATTTTCCTACAGAATTAGTAGGAGTTAGGAACAAACACTGTAGTTCAGAGAAGACCAGTCACACAATCTATGGTGCCCCATGAAAAATACAAATTCAGGCTTGTTCAAAACACAGGGAAAAGGTACCATTAAAGGTACTAAAATATAAAATATTTTTCTTTCTTCTGTGGTCTCTCTTTTGACCTGTCAGGGTGTTTTTAATGTTGAACTCCCAGGCTTGGGGATGCTGGCAGGGCAAGTGCAACCTTCATAGCCATCAGGGCCCCTATCCTGTGATGGGGGGCATGAATACACATGGTCTACCAGCTACTGGACTGAGGCTTCATGCCCTAGCCAGGGGCAAAGAAGTTGAGCCAGGTGTCTCCTCTTCCCACTGGCCCATTGCTCCTATCCACCATGGATGGGCAACCCCAAGGGTACTGTATCCTCTGCCCTGGGATAGTCTAGGTACACAGGGATGGGCAGCAAGCTCACTTTCACTAAGTTGCCCATCAAACATACCACAGTGTTGTCAGTCTGGAGTCCCTGAGATGCTGCCAGGTACACATGCCCCACACATGCCCTCACCACGCTCAGGCCCTCACTGGTGTGGGGAGTGGCAACAACTGAATGGGGATGGTGATGGGGAGGTTAGTGATGCCTGGGGTGGCAGAGAGCAGAGGACTGGGCAGAGAGAACTCCTCCTGGCAAGGTGGGGAGGCAGCAGGAGGTGGGACTGTGAGCCTAGGCACCAAGCCTTTGGTGCTTACTCCATTGGTTCACTGGACACCACTGACAGAATACAAATTCTAGGTTAAAATAAACAGTGTCAAGATGGCACCAGTAGAGCGTTAAACCCCATGTGGCCCTGTGGGAGTCCTGTGAGAGTGCATGGGTCACTTGCCCATGAAGTCCTCCTGATTTTGGACCTCAGATGAAAGGAAACAATTTTGATTGCCTTCCCACCCCAAGTTTGTGTATTTCTAAGACAGATATATATATATATATAAGATATATATATATATAAGAAAAAGCTTCATGTATTTCCTCCATTTCAACTTTATTCTTTATTTCAGTTAGGAGTTAATCAGAAGAGACTGAAGTTTACAGATGTTCTCTATTTAAAAGCCCTCTAAGTGAAGAATACATATTCTTCAAAACATGAAAAGTACTCCTTTCTGAGCACAGGTAACTATATTCAATAGTTAGTAACAAATTACAGTGGAAAACAATCTGATAAAGAAGATACATAACTGAATCACCAGATACTGATACAACATTGTAAATCAACTATACTTCAATAAAAATTTTTAAAAAGTACTTATTTGAACTCCCCTGGTGGCCCAGTGGTGAAGAATCCGCCTGCCAGTGCGGGAGACATGGGTTTGATCCCTCGTCCAAGACGACCCCACATACTGTGGAGCAACTGAGCCTGTGAACCACAGCCACTGAGCTCTCACTCTGGAGCCCACAAGCCGAAGCCACGAGAGCTCCTGCAGCAATGAAGACCCAGGGAAGCCAAAAATAACATAAATAAATAACTTTTAGATACTATTTTCTGGGCATTGCAGTGCTTTTGTTTTTCCATGAATATGGATAGATACATGGATTGCTTTTATCATTAGGAAAAATAATTAAAATGTTATTTTCTAAAGTAATAAACATACTTTACCTGTAGGGAGAGTATGCTGCTCCTTGGACTTTTCTGATACAACCAGTGTTATCTCTTTGTTAACTTTCCTTATTACCTCCTGGATCATATGAATTTCGAGATTTTCCAGAAGTTTCTGGAGCTAGAGTAAGCAGTTTGAGAGTCACTCTTCACTATTAGCTTATACTCCAGGCTCCTAAATTCTTACATGAGGGCCTTGGGCTGGGTCCTGTCCTTTAGCTACTCTCTACTGAGGAAGAAGAAAGGATTCTTTTTTTGAGGTTCCCAAGTTGGGTAGAGGCATCTTTTTGGAGACAAATATCTCTTCTTCCTGGCTCATATCTCAAAGGGTTGATAAAATACAACCCCTTTTTTTTTTATTCAGGTTCTGCTAAATTGCAAAGTGCTCAGTGTCTGAAGTGACCTCTTATGTTTTGGAGTCTCTAAATATGGCCAGGAATTTCATGACCTGTTTTATAAAAAGCGAGAGGGTCTGAAACTCAATTTAGATACCACGGAGGATTTCACAAGAAGATATTAATCCATACACGACCAAGAGAAAACTCTGATCTAATACCCATGAGCCCTTACTTTACCCTTTATGCTTGCAAAGCCCATGTTTCTCCCTGGTGCTAGAGAGGAAGCAGAGTTCAAAAGGGTAAGCAATGGTCACAGGACTGGGGTGTATGTGGAGAAGGGGCGGTGCTGAGTTCTCCTGGATGCTTAGCGGACATGCATCTCTGTACTTACACCCATGTAACTAGTCTTTGTTCCCTGTTACAATAAGCTCAGCCAGAGACAGCCTGTGTCCCAGGACCAAAGGGAACAAGCACTTGGAAAAACAACCCCTCCACACACCATCAACACACACCAAATAGACTAGTACATAAATTGTGTTGTCTTATTCTCAGAAAAATAATCGTGGAAGCTATTTTAAATATTCTATTTCTGTGAGCGTGTGTTGGGGTGAGAGGATAATTTTCTCCTGAACTTTATGTTTAAGATGCTAGTGGTTATGTTTCCTGTTGTCTTTTTGTGGTGGTGCACTTTAATTTGAGGAAAATAAGAATATGAAAACCTTGAATTACAGAACTAAGACATTAAGGTTAGCTATTTGCTTAATCAAAGCCCCACATACCTTTAAACACTTAAACAGCCTTAGAGTCTGTTCAACAATTTACAAACCCTCAATTTACACTTAACTTCTAGAAGAAAAACACCACTTGGGTATAGCCATAGTTTTAAATGCTAATGCCATAAAGCAGATTTTCAAGCCAAGTTCAAAACAGCTTCTACATACCTGTTGAGTTTTTATTTCGATTTCTGAAGCTCCTTTGGGGGGAAGAATACACTGACTAGTTATTAAAATTTCTTCAAATTCATCTTCTTTCCCCATCTGCCTAGCTATAGCTTTCATGCTGGGGTAGAGAATATCAGTTCTATTAAAGAAGAGCAACAGAAATTAGCAAACAAACATTTATTTTCTCTTTTAGATTTTCTGACAATTCTTTTCATTCATGTTCTGTTTCCTGTCATCATGCATAAACCTCCCAACTTGTCATAGACACTCACATCAACATCTAAATTCACCATAGTTGCCACTCCCTTAGTCAATATTAAATACCAAGGCCTTTTCTCACTGGCACATTTAATTTCTTTGTTCTTCAAAATATTGACATGCCTTCTCATTCTCTATTTACCAGGAAAGCTGATTGTCATAACTCATAAGATAGACAATTTGGATTAGGCCACCAAAGTGGGCCTTAGGGTCCTCAGTGAGGTCCAGCGTGGCGGGTGGGTGCTTAGTGAATGCTTGTTCAGTAACAGACACGTGGCAGAAGCCACCTGTCTTTCCTGCCAGCTAAGGCATCCCAGCCAGCTCTTGAAGCTGAAAAAACAACATGGACCACAGACTGAACACCTCATTCTGTGCCATACTGTACCCCGGCTATGATGCTGAAGCTCTCAGAGACTCATTAGACCTAAGTCCAACGTGGCAGAGTGGGCAGCCGGTCACAGCAGCAGCACTCCCTACTCAATACTCACTGGGATCCTATAAGCTAAAACGCTTAGTCAGTACCAAAGGGACACTTCACAAGCACCCGTTTCCAGGGCCAGAACTCTGGGTCAATGACATTCAGTGTTGCTCAGTGGAATCCAGTGCGATGCCTGCAGCCTACAGAACTCAGTTTTTCCTGGAAAGCACTGTTGGTAGAGACACACTGCCCAGTTTCCTTGGCGATCAGTGGGGCTAGGCACACCAGATTCAAGGACCAAATGGAATGTCACCCTCAGAGCAAGGGCAGTAATCTGCCAGAGCCCAGGTTCCACTCCCCCACATGAACTTCCCCCGAGCCACACTCACCCGTAGAGCTCCGAGAACTGCTTGTAGAGGCAGGGAGAGTTGACGTCCTGGACTTGGAGCTTGAGTCGGCCCCAGTGCTCCTTTAGCACTTCCAGTTGCTTCCACAGCACCAGAAATGATCTCAGCAGAGCAAGGGCCATCACGGCATCACATGGGCCCCCCAGCAGCCTGGAGGCCTTTGGGCTGCTTTGGAACTGACTTCTGAGTCCTGGCACTCGGGACGAATCTGGCTGAAAGCATCACAGAAATTCTTCCTCATTCACCATAGACCACTACAAGATCACCTTCTACATGCAGCTCACGCACAGTGAAGACTTGGGAGAATGACTCTTCATCCCAGGAGGAATGGTTTACAGGCCAATAGCACATGTGGAACTTAGGGAGGATAAGCATCCTTCCTGAACACAGGTGGTATTCAGAAAGGAGAGAAATGTCTCCATTTCAAATTTCTGCTTGAGTCATGAACCACTGACTTTTAAAACTCTTTTACTTGGGTGCTCACATTTTTATCTGCCTTAGAAAAATTGAGCCTTTTATGTTTAGTCTCTGCGTTTTGAAAAGCACTCTTTAACATACTCAAGATTTAACAGCCCGTCATGGTAGAGCTATATTATAATCTTAAATTGAAGATTTTATCCATTTTATGGGTAAGGAAATGGAAACTTAGGTTTATCTTATCTCCTAGTCCTCCTCCCGTCCTCTAAAATTTAGGCAGAGAATATGTCACTTGATTTGAATTTATGATTCAATAGGTAATTTTACCGGAGAAGGCAATGGCATGCCACTCTAGCACTCTTGCCTGGAAAATCCCATGGACGGAGGAGCCTGGTAGGCTACAGTCCATGGGGTCGCAAAGAGTCAGACACGACTGAGCGACTTCACTTTCACTTTTCACTTTCATGCACTGGAGAAGGAAATGGCAACCCAGTCCAGTATTCTTGCCTGGAGAATCCCAGGGACGGGAGCCTGGTGGGCTGCCGTCTATGGGGTCACACAGAGTTGGACACAACTAACATGACTTAACAGCAGCAGGCAATTTTACTTTAAAATCATGATTTGTTCATTCTTTCATTGGTGTTTCCTTAAACAAGGGTTGGTTGAGGGGCTGCTGTGAGCCTTGGAGGATGTGGAGGGAACAAGGTTTTCAGGTCCCTGATCTTTACACCAGCGATACAAAGGCCAGGGCCACCCAGAGAATGACAGACAGAATGGGGACCTGTATCTCACCCATGGCCTGAAGACAGTACCTCAGTTATAGGGAAAGGAGCTTTCCTTTGCAGACTCGGACCAGAGGACATTCAGGTAACAGCACCTTGGATGCTCAAGTTTCCTGGCCATGAACAGGAAGAACCACCACCGGGGTGTAACTGGACCCTAGATCATAACATATGGGATGGAGTGGAGGTGGGGCTGCCAGAAAGAGAGTTGGTCAAAAGAAGACCTGACAGGCAAGTCCCAGGGGAGAGTGAACTCCTGCCAATATCTGGCAAGCCCTCCACCTAGTAGTCTACATCCTCAACAATCAGCTGATTCATGCACTTCTGGATTTATTTTATCCTCAGAAACTTATAGCAAATGAAATCTTACTCAGTGACCCAAGATATCCAACAGACCAAAGCCAAGCACTGTGACAGGAGCAGGCAGCCTACAGGCCACAGAGCTGGACCCCTCCACTCAAAAAGCCCCAAGCTCTTGCCACCATTTTAAAAGCCCTGAGCTGGGACTTCCTTGGTGGCCCAGGGTGAAGAAACTGGCCTGCAGCACAGGGAATGCTGGTTCTATCCCTGGTCAGGGAACTAAGATACCATGTGCTGTGGAGCAACAAAAACCTGTGTACCACACTAGAATCTGTGTGCTGCAATGAAAGATTCCACATGACACAGCAAAGATCACATGAACCCAACGCAGTCAAATAAATAAATATTTAAAAAAATAAAATAAAGGCCCTGAGCTAATCCATCCCCTTTACTTGGGAGTCTTAGAGATGGAAGTCTAAAAGGTCACAGAACTGGTGACACAGCTGGGACAGGAAACCTAGAGTCCTAGGTCATAGGCAGTATAAATTTCAGTGCTGCCCATTGTCTATGAACATTGAAATGCTATTAAATAGAAACAATCATAAAATAAAACTAATTAACAATCATCTTAAAGCAAACTTACCTCCTATTAAGAGAAGTCATCTCTTCCTAAGCTTTGCAGAATGGGTGAAGGAACAGGAGAAGGATAAAGACAAGGCAGAGGAGACTAGGAGGTCAGGAAAAGATGATAATCCATCAGAAACAGGGCCAAAAGAGGGAAAATAGAAGGACCAGAGAGCCTAGCACGCTTCTTGCTCTTGGTATTACTTGGTCTATATCCAGTTTTGTAAATGCTCCTTCTAGGAGAAACACTGAATCCTGTTATGGAATTCAGATGGCACTCTAAACACACTTCCTTTTCCACTAATTGGCCTGATAAGTATCTGTGACTCGGTTTTAGCCAGTGAGAAAAAACAAGAAAAGTCTACTGGAAGTTGTCTGGAAAAGATTTCCCTCCTTGACAAAAAGAAAAGCCCCTTAAGGGGAAAGCTTTTTCACTCCCGTCTTCATCTTACAAGGATGAGGGAGACATTCTGCTGACACACCCAGATGGCACAGGTGCCTCCACCAATGTGAACTGCTTCCTTCTAGACTTGCTTTGAAAGATTAACACACTTTGTAGTTTAAGTCATGACTAGTTACTTACAGCAGGTGCACCCTTACTGGCACAGAGGGGCATTGGCCCAAAGGTGGAAGATCAGATAAAGCTTCTAAAAGAGTGTTTGGAAGCAGAAATCTGAACGACAAATAGGAGTTAATCAGATGAAGAAGCAGAGAGTGGGAAGAGAGGGAAGTTTTCCACCAGGGAGGCTGGTTTGCATGAAGGTACTGAGGAGAAAGCATGGTGCATTTGACAAAATGAAAGAAGCTGAATATGAGGGAGTTCCAGGGCCAGACTGTTAGGCTGGAACCTGGGTTTCTTTTCTCTCTTGGCAAGTGACTTTAGGCATATCATTTAACCTTTGTGAGTTGGTATTCCTATCTATATAATGAGAATATTGATAGTACCTCCCTCATGGGATTATTGTGAGAATTAAAGAAATTAATAAAGCACTCTGAATAGATCTCAATCATAGACATTATTAATTAATAATGTTCTATTAATAGTGTTCAGGGCCAACTTATTGACTAGACACCGAAATGCTTAGGGCCCACAAAATGTTTTAATTTCTTTTAAAATCAGAAAAAAGAATGCTTAGGTTGAATAAAATGCTACAATTTATGATATTAATATATTTTTCTTTATGTTAACACAATTATAAGCTATAACTTCATGTTTTTTAATGGAGAAATGAATCCTCAAAGGCAAAAGTGGTAGTCATGGAGGTCAAAATGCAGCCCTGGCAGTGGTAGAAGTGGGCTAGAACCCAATAAATAACATTTTCAGGATTAGCAGAGGTAGGGGAGTTGACCGAGAAGTCTGAGAAGGCCTGGCCCATGAAGTCAGAGGAAGACTGGAGACAGCTGTGTTTTAGAAGCTAAGGGCAGACAGTTTCAAATGCTGCTAAGGCATCAGGTTGGAGGGGGACTGAAACATACCTATGGGATTTATGGCAAGGTCCATGGTACTCTTGATGAGAGCAGTCTCAGTGGTGAGATGAGAAAGAAGGCAGAGTGCAGTTTTTAAGGAGTGAATGGAAGGTAAGGACATGGAGATAGCTGGTGCAGTTTGGCTCTGAAAAGGGGGCTCTTTAAATGGGGCGGTGGCTAGTTTGCCCTGTGTCCACACAAGTATCTGTCTGGTTCCAGATATATGCAGAATTATTTCAAGCTATAATACTAGGGGGACTACAGGCTCCCGGTGCCTCATAGCTTCAGAGGGACAAGTCTGGAGAAGGGAGTGCTTGCCCTAGGAGTCCATGAGCTAGCTGAGTGATGATGATAGGAGCCAGGCTGGAGCTGTTCACCTGGAGCCTCTATCATACCCTTCCAACTCCAGTCCTAAATGTGTGACTCACAAGGAAAAATAGCCAGTTGGAGTATTTGTTCACACTGGTTTCAATGGACCAACCCCCCCACCCCTGCCAATGTCTGTTGTACTTTTAAAATTAAAAGAAATTGATATACCATTGATCATGGGATTTACTGTGAAAGAAAGCACTTTGGAGAGAGTCTGACTGGCTACTGCTGCTTCAGTGCTGCTCCCGTGTAGCATTAGGACAGTCCTGGGACACTAGGAGAGTTTATGGGACAGATGAAGCTCTCTAGTCCATCTCCCGGATAGAAAGGTCCTTCAGTACAACACACCACTGGTCAAGTATGTGTCACTTGACCAGTTCACCAAGAATACCTGTGTATTTTTGTCTGGTGTGGCTTGCTGTCCTGGGAGACCCTCCATGATCATATGATAGTTACTCAGAAGAACATCTTCCATTAGCAGTTGCATGCCTGCCAGCTCTCCATGAGCCACCTTGAGGTCATGGCCACTCAGTCCACAGAGGCATAGCTAAAAACAAAAAAGAACAAAACCAAACCAAAACACCCATTTTGAATACTTCTATGTATCCTTTACGTGTCCTGGGGGGAGAAACTAGGAGTAGTTGTGTTTAGAAGCCCCTTGCTCTCAATTATTAAAAAAATCCATAAAAATCAGAGTAACATTTTTAGTTCAAAATCCGCCTTGAACATATTAGACATTTGGCTCTGTATGGAAATACAAGTTCCCCACACGTTATGGTGGTGTCTGTATGTGGTTGTATGAATAGTGTGATACACGTATGCACAGGGAGAACACAGGAGAAAAACCAATATGATCTGTAACCATACCTCAAAGTGAGGGACTCTGATTAATATTTTTAAACCATTTTTACTATTTTACTTTAAAAAAAGTTTACTTTTGGAAAATTTTGAGCATATGCAAAGGTAAGCAGAACAGTTCCCATCACTCAGTCCCCAAAACCACCAACCTATGGCCAGTTCTGCCTCATCCTCATCACTCCCCACCTCCACATTATTTTGAAGCAAATGTATCATTGATTTTCATGTTGCTGATAATACTTTTAAAAGTATTTTCTATTTTAAAAAATGAAAATACAGTAATACTTGCTTAAACAATCAGAGGAAAACATACAATTGAAAGAAATTCTCCTTCAGAGTCCTGCTTAAGGAGTTTTCTTCCTACCACTGTAGGTGGGTCACGAGTCACACATCTCTGAACTGCTTGTCTGGGAGTTACTCTGAGAGGCCCAGAGAGTGACCAGAAATGGATGACCACTCCCCAAGATCATTATTAGCCAGGAGAATTTCAACTGATTCAAGTCTGATTCCAGCTGCAAACATGATTTTCTTCTGTCATAAGAACACATGATTCACCCTGCAGCACTGGGTTTATAGCTTCATAATCAAACACCTTGCTTATCTCATACTAATAAATTATTCACCACTGGCTAGAGTATGAAGGATTGGACCTATGGATGCAGTGACACCTGCTTTGCAGTCTGTATTCAGTTCTCTCTGTGACAAGCAGGAAGAACTATCTTACCTGCATGTGATATTCTAGGGTATCTGGGCTGCTACTTGTAACTGGAAATGGTCCTCCATCTTCCAGAAATGCTCTCCAAGGGAACAGCACAAATGACTAAAAGAATCAAATAATAAATATAATAATGCTGCATAATAATGTCCACAAGTAATATGCATTTGTATATGAACAAGATGTCTTCCATCCGTACACTAAAATACTATGGGATTACTTCTCTATTATATAGAAATAGTTCTTGATGAATAGTCTCTGATGATGCAGAGGAGAGAGTAATAATCTTGTTTTTTAAACTGATTTTTCAGAAAGTAACTAAACATAGAAGGGTACTTAAGGTTTCAGTGTAAATAGTCAGCACTAGTGTTTGGAAGTCCCAGAATAGTATAAAACCAATGATACACATTTAAAATCAACCAAAGTAAATTTACTCAATTTTTTTCAGTATTACAAACCTTAAATATTTGTCCTTTATCACCACTGTGCTCCAGTTCTAGGCAACAACTCAAAACCAGTGCTGTGACATTACACATGGGCCTCCATCTTTTCCACATCACTGTTCAACAGCCAAGGCATCCCTACTCCCTGTGGCATGACATGCAGCCCAGGATAGAGTGGGCTTGTCCATCTGATCCGATTCTACAGTTTCAGACCCAGTACTGGCTTCAGACAATTCTCAAAGTTGGAGTTGATGCAGGTGGCAGGCAGCCAGGACACCTGAAACTACTTAATGCCAGGCAATGCCCAAAGGCAACAGGAGCAGGCCCAGTAGTCACAATCCAACCCTGTCTTCAGGTCTTCATGAGGGTCAAGGCTTGGGCCAAGAGTCATTGTCTTATAGCTAGGGAAGGTAGAAGTGTTAGACTTACATGGGGTTGATGCTGGAATTACTTGCCTTAGCTTTGTAACATAAAAACATTAAGTTGGAGGTTTTGGAGTCAAAAGATATGGGCTTGTGAGGTGATTTTCAAGATATGTCCACAGGGACTTCCCTGGAGGTCCAGTGGTTATGACTCTGAGTTTCCACTGCAGGGGGCATGGGCTTGATCCCTGGTTAGAGGACTAAGATCCTGAATGCCATGAAGCGTGGCAAAAAAAAAAAAAAAAAAAATGTGTGCATAAATTTTTTGATTCTGTTTCCACTAAGAGGTGGAGCACCTTGACCTTGACCACAGCCCCATGAGAGATTGTGAGCTGGAACTACCCAGCTAAACTGAGCCTGGACTCCTGAGCCTCAGAAACTATATGAGATAATGAATGTCTATTGTGTTAATATGCTATAGTGAAAGTGAAGTCGCTCATCGTGTCTGACTCTTTTCGAGCCCATGGACTGACGATATAGCCTACCAGGCTCCTCTGTCCCTGGGGTTTTCCAGGCAAGAATACTGGAGTGGGTTGCCATTTCCTTCTCCAGGAGATCTTCCCCACCCAGGGACTGAACCTGGGTCTCCCACATTGTAGGCAGACGCTTTACGGTCTGAGCCGCCAAGGATAATATGCTATATTTGGGGGTAATTTGCTCTGAAGCCATAAAAAGTTAATACAGTTTGTGACCTAGTGTTGCCAGGACTGCAGAGCAGTCTGATCTCTGGCCTTCCTGAACTTCAAACTCTTTAGTTGTAGCAGGTGGGTAATAGAGTTGGTGCCTAGGAGTAATAATAGTTGCCAGGATTACATTTGATAACACATACTGTTGTCGGGCTGTTCAAAACTCAGCTGCTGACCTAATATATGTGTCATAATTGCTATCATTATTATTTATTACATGAAAGAGATCAGGTGTTGGTTTTGCTACCAGCTGTGAGCAGATAAGCTGTTATCCCAATTAGCCTGTTAAGCGGTTTGGAGACAGAGCTCCTGACTAGAAATAACAGCAAGCCACAGGGGCCCTCTCTACTGTATGAGTGAAGGGGAGCTTACCAAGGCCAATGGGTATTTCGACAGGAAAAGCCTCCTATGCACAATGCACATTTTATTACAAAATGTGCTCTCAACACATCTCAGTACAAAAATAGCTCTCAACATACCTGGAGGCTCTGTGGATCCAGTGGTTGTGGTAGGCTGAGCTGCGAAGCAAAAATGCTCTTCATTGGAGAGTTGCTCAGTGGTGGCAACCCATGGTACATGCCGTCTGTGACAGACTGGTAGGCAGAAGCATTTCCAGCTGCCAAAAACGTTTGTCTACCAAAACAGGAAAGCAATCTCATTAAAAGCAGTTACTCACGTTTCTAAAGCTCAAAACTCTCTTCAAGGCTATTTGTAGCAAGATAACATTTTGAGATATAAGCAGGTTTCTTCTTTGGCGACATCGTCCCTCATTCATTTTTCTTTACCACTGCCCTTCACTCTCCAATTCACAGCTCTCAAGGGAAAGATAATTATTCTCTAGACAAGCGCTGTCTAACAGGATAAGTTGAGGGGATCCAAAAGGTCCCCAGGAAAAAAGGGATCTTTTGTCTAAACCTTCCATAGACTTGGATTAAGTCATGCATAAAGAGACATCAAAAAAGAGATTAGCAATGACTGAGGGAGATGTTATCACCAGTGTGAGTGAGGCAGTCCCTCAGACATTAGCAGATAATCAAGTGTTGAGGAAAGACCTGGGGAGTGCCTAAGACCCCACAAGGCAGTGTCCAAGTGGGGAGCTGAGCAGCAGGCCAACCAGAAGAGATCTGGGGTTGAATAGAGATGGGTGAGGTAGGATGACTTATAAGCACCCCAGAACTTAGATCACCTCTGAGAAGCATAAAGGAGGAGAAGGTGTGGTATAAGGCTTAAGTTATGGTCCATTATTAGCGCTGCCTTGACATCTGGTAAAACTGGGAGGGCCTTGAATGACCTAACTACAAGTTTCCCTCCCCATGGAGGGAAGGTCCCCTAGTCAAACATAGGGACCTATGTTTATTTACCTTCCTTATCACAGGGACCAAGTGAAATTCCTGCTTATCCATCCACAAGCAGTGGTTTCCAGTTCCCTGTCAGACCACAAAATCATTCGAATGAACCAAGCACATCCTCCTATGGGAACCAATAGGCACCACATCCTCTTGATACTCAAAGCCTGCCTCTCAAGCCCCTAGCTGTTCACTCTGTTCACAAGTACAAATCTTCTGTGGCCTTACATGGCATGCAATGTTCTGTTCCCCTTGGCCATGAATATATGTAACTAGTAAACTGCTGCTGATCTCATTTGTCCCGTATTTAAAGTTATGTGTTTGGTCATCCCCATAACCTTGGGGTAGAATCTTTCCCTCACCAACAAAGTGAAAAGGAGGCATTTAAAACAAAGGTAAAGAGGGATGATTTTGAAGTAATTGATTTTATATTTCAAATTCACCACTTTAAATTCTAAATATGGCTGAATGACATGGAATTGAAAAAAGAAGTAGGGGCTTATGAACTTAAGTTCAAAGACAGATAAAGGGAGCTCTATATTTGCGTATCAAACCATTGTACTAGTACAAAAGTCATATCACCCTTTTCACATCTTTGTGAGAATTAACAAAAGATAGTTGCATACAGTTATATACTGAGACACTGAATAAAAACCCTGATTTATCCTGATAGCTCAAGGATGGAACTTGGAGTTGCTCATGCTCAATGGATATAACCATTTTCTCCTGTTTCTCATATTGTTCACATGCTTTCCCATGATTCTCAATGGGCCCTGCCAAGGGACCCATGATTCACTCAACACTCATGTGACAGTGATGTATCAAGCATCTACTATGTACAGTATACTATGTCAGGAACTGAGATACAAAGATGCTGCTGCTGCTGCTAAGTCGCTTCAGTCATGTCTGACTCTGTGCAACCCCATACACGGCAGCACCAGGCTCCCCCGTCCCTGGGATTCTCCAGGCAAGAACACTGGAGTGGGTTGCCATTTCCTTCTCCAATGCAGGAAAGTGAAAGTTAAGTCGCTCAGTCATGTCTGACTCTTAGGGACCCCATGGACTGCAGCCTACCAGGCTCCTCCATCCATGGGATTCTCCAGGCAAGAATACTGGAGTGGGTTGCCATTTCCTTACTGCAGACAAAAAATATTGCCTGCCATACCAGTTAATAAAGAATGCTGCCTGCCACCAAGCCATCAGCAAATGCAGCTGCCTTCCAATGGTGCACTCTGAGGGGAATTCAGGATAGAAAAAAAACAGGAGACTGGATCTAGATAAGACACATAGCTAAGAAATAATTTTAATGAGTCCAGATTCTTACATCTTCCCACACATAGAAAAGCACTAAAATCACTAACTTGTGATATCTGTCTTTTGTGATTAGCAATAATCCTTTGATGTTTGATCACATGAGCTTTTCTTATTGTTGTTGTTCGGCCCAAACTCCTCTATATCCTAGCTCCTCCCTTACTTCTTCAGATTAGATCCTTACCTATCTGACACATTGTCTCCCGGGCTATAGTCTTCAGTAAGGTTCCAGAATAAAATATTTACAACTTCTAAGCTGTGCCTTTTTCTTTAGTCAGTGGCGCTAAAAAGCAGAGTACTTTAATGGAAACATTTCTTTTCAGTCCAGAATCAGAGCACAGAAGCCCAATATCCCAATAAACCTCTCCCTGGCTGACTCCTTCAATGTCCCTCCTGTGCATCTCTCCTACCAATCCACACAATTATCTCTCTCTCTCAGCCTCTGGGCCCAACTTTGTTCACATCTTATTGTTTAATCCTTGACTGTATTGCTCATATTTTAAAATTCCTTTTTTGTTTATTATGATGTGAGCCTGCCATCTATGGGGTCGCACAGAGTTGGACACGACTGACGTGACTTAGCAGCAGCAACATCTTTAAAAAAAAACAAAACACAAAAACCCTGCTGGCTGGGGAGAGATTGTTCCTTCCTCTGTAGCCAGTTCTTAAAGACAACTGAAGGCCTAGCATGCTTTTGATACCCAAACAAACCAGTCTGAGCCACACCTCCTCTGATCCCTGCAACCCAGGAGGCAATATTCCTCTCATTTAATCATCCTAGGGCTAATTTACAGGCAACTAGAGACCAACACAGGCTTGTCTGGCGGCTCAGACAGTAAAGAAACTGCTACAATATGGGAGACCTGGGTTTGATCCCTGGGTTAGGGAGATTCCCCTGGAGGAGGGCATGGCAACCCATTCCAGTATTCTTGCCTGGAGAATTCCAAGGACAGAGGAGCCTGGCAGGCTATAGTCCATGGGGTCACAAAGAGTTGGACATGACTGAGCAATTAAGAATAGAACAGAGACCAACAAACAATACACCCCAAAGCCTGCTGGAATTATTCAAACTAGCAGATCTTAAAATGTTCCCCTGCTCTGCCTTGCCTTTCCAGGCCATGGCCTAAGCACTCTCTTTGCTCCTGACCCGTGGCCCTGTGTGACGTGGCATGATGGATGTGTCTAGGAACCGAATATAATTTTATTTCCCCGAGTCTCTCCTGTATCTCCTCCTGTGATTGCACTAGATTGATTATCACATAAAAGAACACAGAACAATGACTTGTTCTTTTATCTTGCTAAGTTCGTGCAGAGTTTTTAACTAAGGGCCACAAACAACCACAATTCTTGGGAGAGTTTTAGAGCCCCAAACATATACTAGGTCTATTAATTTATACATACTTGGAGACTATTTAAGAATAACACAGTTCAGATGTAAATATGACTGCTACTCTAAGTGACAGAATCATAGCATATGATACATTGTCTAGAGAGACCAGAGTCAGTCGGAGTCTAGGCATCACCACTGATCAAATCATTGGTTATCCCATTCCCACTTTCTTAATTCTTCAGTCAAGATCACTGCCTTGGTAGGTCCCACCGCCCCTTTCTCAATAGAACTGTTTATTAGGAAGCTGAACAAAATAATTCCATGTAAAGAAAGGAGTTTCAAGATGATACCTAACATTTTTAGCACTATATCCTCTTTTATTTCCTTCCTCTCCATGGACCCCATGTTTTGAAAGTTTCTTTTTTTTTTTTTAACCAAATTAAGCATTCTCCTGTTTTTAACTCAAAGCCACATAAGCACCTAGCCTAAGCTCTGAGCTGCAGGAAGAGATAAAGAAATATGATATAAAGGAAAGAACAGGGCCTTGGAGTCTGACAAACTGTGTTAATGTAAGGTCTGCTACAACAAGCATGTGACCCTGGGGCAATCATGAGACTTTCCTCTGTTCCCTCATCTGTAAAGATGGTGATGTAACTGCTATCTCACAGAGTTGGCACATGGTAGGAGTTCAACCAAAGCAAGTTTCCTCTCCTCCTTATCTTACTCATTCTTATGATTCCAGAGTTTATAAAAGAAAGAAATGTGACATTTTCTTTACTGCAAAACTTTTGGACAAATATGTCTTTTCCATCATGCCTTTAGAAATACTGAAAACAACTTATTGTGACAGCTCACTCAGGCCCTTAGTTGGTAAACCCTGGCCTGCACCTTCTGCTGGGGTAGCTCTAACCAGTGCAGCTTGCCAGCAGCACTCAAGATAGGGGGAAACCCATAGGAATGAAAGGTAAATTTGCTGCTTGTGCCAGTGGTACACCTGCCAACTGCCAGCTCCTAATAAAGTCAGGTCTTCCCAGCAGCCCACTAAAATACAAATACAGATGCCTCACATTCTCCAAATGGTTTTGCCACACTCCAGTTGCCTTACTGTCAACAAGCAGTCCAGGGTTTCCTAGAATGCCAGTCATCTTGTGTGTGAGTTACCCACAGTGTGATCCCAGGTAAACTGGCTCTAGACATAGGGAGCAGGGAATTCATGGAGCACATGCTAGGTTTTTTCCTGGATGCAGGAGATATAAAAGAAAACAAAACCCAAAAAACAGCTGCAAAGTAGTCCTGAGGAGGCTAGGAAAAAGCTGTGGCTCTTCACTTCTCAGACGCTGGAGCCCAGGACAACATGAGGGCTTCTCTGTATCTCTCAGAAATCCCCAGATAACTCTGAAGCACACTTTAATATCTGTGTGTTCAGAGACACTTTAACTAGATGAGCATAAAAATAAACTGAAAAATGAAGAGAAAACCAACACAAATTCAAGGACTAAAAAAAATGGTGTTGCTTCTTCAGAGATTCCCTGATGTACTCCTAAATAAGGCTTACGGCAGGAAGTTAAGGCACCTTTGATTTATTTCCTCAAACCCCTCCTTTTTACAGTAATCACTCTGAGCATCAATAACACATTCAGTGGCACTTTTCAAGGCATATGTTTTATTCCTATAGAGTTCATCTGAGGAACTTTTTTTTTCTTCTTCTTCCCCTCCATTCTTGAATTTCAAAGGAATTCAATCCTTTAAATCAGGGAGTGGCAAACTCTTTCTTAAAGGGTTGGATAGTAAATATTCTCAGCTTCATGAAGCGCATGATCTCCACTGTAACTATTCAACTCTGTGGTTGTAATGTGAGAGCAGCCAGAGGTTATCCATAAATGAATAGGCAGGGCTGTGTTCCCAAAAAAACCCTCCATTTCTGGACACTGAAACTTGAATTCCTCAGAATTTTCATGTGTCACAAAATACTATTCTTGAATTCCCCCTGCCTCAACCACGTAAACACCAGCCTTAGCCCGCAGGCCTTACAAAATCAAGCAGAGGCCTATGATTCCTAACTTAAACAGATAATATTGATTAAAATCACTGTACCACATAAGCATTTACCTTTGGCACAAATTAATTCACCTGAAATTAAACATAAACTCAATTCTCAGGCATTTCTTGCATTGGCTAATAAATAACTCTTACAGATGGTGGACACGCCCAGAAGGTGAATGGCAGGCCTTAGGCAATGTGATTCTGACACCATTAGAGGACACACCAATTTGCACCAGGTTCTTGCCTGAGCTTGGCCACAGAGGGAGAAACTTTAGTGCTTAGAAACATGTATCTTTCTGGCAACCTAAGCTGGTCTGTGCCACAGTGAAGCAGGTGCCACGTAAAGAGGACTCCATGGGGCCACTGTCTTGAGCTATATCCTGCCTCTCCTCCCCTGGTCTATGGAAGTATACTGCTTTCATTGCAGGTGAGAGTTCTTTCTTTTCAAACTCTGGAGATGGATTTAGGTTACATAAGAAAAAAGTTTCCTGGAATAAAAGTCATATTTACCCAGAGTTGGCGAGCTCTGGGAAGAGCAAGGGAACTTCCTCAAGCTTTCTGTCTCTTTTGGTTATCTAAGGACTTATTGCTAGCAGGTTCAGCATAAAGTATTAATAAATTCCTCAAGTAGAATGACATTGATCTTTCACTTCTCTTTTTCTCCTGCCTCCTGTCTTCTCTTGAGAGTTTCCCTTTCCATCCATCCTGTTGCTGTCTGGCATCCATCCTAGTTCTCAGGCTTTGGAGTCAAATGCACCTAGGTTCTAATCCTGGTCTGCAGCTTACTAGCTGTGTGACTGCAAACAGACACATAAACTAAAGGGCTCTGAAGAAAAAAAGGGCTGGGGGAAATGCTGTAAATGAAGGACTCCTGGCTCCTTCTGACGTCCTCTGAAAAATATACTGACTATACAATACTGAAACCAGACAAAGGACACATGACCCTCCATTCCTGCAGACTGAGAATGCCAGGGCAGAGAAAGCCCCCAAAAGCAATTCCTAGGGGAAGCAGAGCGGTTTCCCTGGGAGAACAGAAGCAAGATGAACTTCGTGGAGCTGGAATTAAAAAATAATTTCTGGGGTATAGTCCTATTTCTTCAATCTATGTAAATTCCTTGTAAATTCTGACTTAAGATTCAGAGCCCATAGGGCTAATGAATGGCCATCCTGACAATTAGTCAGATCCTTTATATCCTACCTGCTTGACAAAGCTATAGCTCCTAAAGCAATCTGTCAATAAAAAAACCAAACAAACAAAAAAACAAATAGCCTGATTTTTTTGTCCTGCTGAATTTGCATTCTAAATCCAGAGTCCTCTGATGCTCAGAGTAAAGAAAAAGCAGAGTAGAAAGAGCAAACATTAGGTTAAGTAAAAACTCCACATTTCCATTCTCTGTGGACACTCATGCCAAACGGTTGGAAATGATTATAATCCACAGATAAGAGTACTGCCCTCCAAGATCCTCCTCAGTTCCCCTAAATACTCACACTGGGAATTTATCAAATGAAGTTAATTTTGACTATTTAAGAATAAGCAGGGACTCTCAGGTCTAACCTCTTCCCTTCCCATGTACAACTTATTATTTATACAGGAAACATTGTGATTCTTAATTCAAACTAGTTTTTTCATCAATCATGACTCATAAAACCAAACAAACATTCTTACTGATGCAGAGTATTTAATGCCTACAAGGCCAGAGGTAAATTATTTATAAATTTAACTCAGGTAGTCAATTTTGTTGGTTTCAGATGTGCAGTGAAAATTCTGTTCTTCTGCAAGGTAATTAAGTGCTAAAAAAAAAAAAACTTGGTAGGAAGAATAATCTTCAGCAGTATAAAAAATATGATTCCTCATAAAACAGTCTGTTATGCAAACTAACTACACTGGAATCACATTTAACAAAATCAAGAATATTATTATTAACAAGAACACAGTCCACCTGGACAGCCTTTGCAGCAGAACACATTTGGTAGCCGCAGTGCTCTGGATCAGGTTGTGCCCTTGACTATTTTAAACTCATTATCTAATCATGCCAAGAGTGGCCTCCCTCCATGAGCACTCAGAAACACCTGCCCCACAGAATTTACTAGACAGGAATAGCCCTCCAGCCCTTACCGGATGAGGTACCTCACTGCAGCATCAAACTGAAGAAACATAACCTCCCTTTGGAGCAGAAGGACCTGAGATACCAGAGTGGGATCTTGGGGGCTCTGGAGGCTGTCAATCATTTTCTGCAGCTCTTGAAGTTCAGATCCTAGAAAACAGATGACATTTTAAGTCAAACAGATTGAAATACAGTCTACCCCAGCTACCCTGTGAACCATCATTTCACCTCCAAAGCTAACTTTTTACCTAAATCGACTTCTGTTTGTTTGTGAGTATACTAATTAAATATTTTGCAAGATCAGCAAAGTCTTATGTTCTAGAACCCAAGGCCTGATTTATCTTTTCTTCCTTCCTTCCTTCTTCCCTCCCTCAGGAATACAGTAACTTGCATTGCTTTTCAGCAGAATAAGAACATACTGCTGAAAGTAAGTTTCAAAGTATACAAGGCTATAGACTCTAAATAGATTGAAAAAGAGGAATTATAAGGAATGGGAAAGGTATAGGTCTCAGTAAATCTATTAGGGGCTTGAAATTATTATAAACAAGTGGCCATTTCTTACAGCCCTACCATTCAAATCAACTCTGGCATAGACTCATCCTGTCAATGGCTCATGGATTAAGAAGACTCAGGACCATACAAGGAGGCAAAAATATGTATACATATATGTATACACAAACATACATCCTTCTAGGAGATTCACGTCATTTCAGGAGTAGAAGTGAGAGATCCTCAATAGGCTTATTTCTTGGACCCTTATCCTAAAGGATTTATATGTGTTTTGGATGGAAATTCAAGCTAGGGGCCTTTTGCAGTATTCAATACTGGTTTGAGGAACCTGGCCTGGGTCTAGATGGCTGTACTAGCATCTCTATTATCTCAGGAAATGAGCCACTCGGAATGGGAAAGCACAGAAAAAAAAATCATGTTCCTTAGGGAACATTGGTGGGGTGGGTGGGTGGGCCCTATTTCCAAGTCTACAGAGTGTTGGCTGATGTGAAATGCTCATCAGCTCCCTGCGGAGACAGCAATAGTTTTCTACTTGAGAGGACATCCCTGCTATGCAAAGAGAAGAATTGTGGAAACTGGTCACCATCCCTGATTGCAGCCCAAGGCAGAAGTGAGATGAGAAACCTATGAAGCATTTCCAAAGTTACACTGTATAAACAGCTCACCCAGACTTGAGCAGCCTTGTACCCTAACTGGCCTGGTACTGGAACTCTTTCTATGCTTCCGGCATGGAAGGCAGGGGACTGAGAAAAGGGAGGCTGTCCATGAGAGCCTGATCAGGGCAGAACCAGGTCTGAGAATGGTTGCCAATATTACTTGCAATATGGGCTCTTGACTTTAGAAAAGGATGAGCAGTCCAGATTTCATAACCATTTGATGTTTTACACGTAACAGAAGAATGTTTGGGGGATATTTTTCCAACCACAAAAGAATTGGGGTCAATCAGTAGACTTTTTATGAATCCTTTATAAATCTGATGGTCATATCGGGCTGAAAAGAAACTTCCACCAGAAGAGGAGTCACAGGAAATTGTACAAGAACTCAAAGAATTTTGTGGTGGATAGGAGGAGGGGTAGTTGGTGAGCCTTATTTGTTCAAGGTCTAGTGTGCTTGGTCTACAAGCAATACACTCTGTCAGGCTATGCAGTAACCAGGAGAAAAAGTTTATAATCCCCTGCAATGACAATGAAAAAAGAATATAAAGTTGCACATACCCTGTGATTAAAGCTCTGTAAACTGTATTTTACAGTTCAAGGTCAGGAGGGGTAACCTCGTACAAGGTAAGGAGCAGCGGCTGCGCTTTGCTGGAGCAGCCGTGAAGAGATACCCGACGTCCAAGGTAAGAGAAACCCAAGTAAGACGGTCGCTGTTGTGAGAGGGCATCAGAGGGCAGACACACTAAAACCATAATCACAGAAAACGAGCCAATCTGATCACAGGACCACAGCCGTGTCTAACTCAATGAAACTAAGCCATGCCATGTGGGGCCACCCAAGACGGACGGGTCATGGTGGAGAGGTCGGACAGAATGTGGTCCACTGGAGAAGGGAATGGTAAACCACTTCAGTATTCTTGCCTTGAGAACCCCACGAACAGTATGAAAAGGAAAAATGATAGGATACTGAAAGAGGAACTCCCCAGGTCAGTAGGTGCCCAATATGCTACTGGTGATCAGTGGAGAAATAACTCCAGATAGAATGAAGAGATGGAACCAAAGCAAAAACAACACCCAGTTGTGTATGTGACTGGTGATAGAAGAAAGGCCTGATACTGTAAAGAGCAATATTGCATAGGAACCTGGAATGTTAGGTCCATGAATCAAGGCAAATTGGAAGTGGTCAAACAGGAGATGGCAAGAGTAAATGTTGACATTTTAGGAATCAGCGAACTAAAATGGACTGGAATGGGTGAATGTAACTCAGATGACCATTATATCTACTACTGTGGGCAGGAATCCCTTAGAAGAAATGGAGTAGCCATCATGGTCAACAAGAGAGTCTGAAATGCAGTACTTGGATGCAATCTCAAAAAAGACAGAATGATCTCGGTTCGTTTCCAAGGCAAACCATTCAATATCACAGTAATCCAAGCCTATGCCCCGACCAGTAATGCTGAAGAAGCTGAAGTTGAATGGCTCTATGAAGACCTACAAGACCTTTTAGAACTAACACCCCAAAAGATGTCCTTTTCATTATAGGGGACTGGAATGCAAAAGTAGGAAGTCAAGAAACACCTGGAGTAACAGGCAAATTTGGCCTGGGAGTACGGAATGAAGCAGGGCAAAGGCCAATAGACTTCTGCCAAGAGAACGCACTGGTCATAGCAAACACCCTCTTCCAACAACACAAGAGAAGACTCTACACATGGACATCACCAGATGGTCAACACCAAAATCAGATTGATTATATTCTTTGCAGCCAAAGATGGAGAAGTTCTATACAGTCAGCAAAAACAAGACTGGGAGCTGACTGTGGCTCAGATCATGAACTCCTTATTGCCAAACTCAGACTGAAGTTGAAGAAAGTAGGGAAAACCACTAGACCATTCAGGTATGACTTAAATCAAATCCCTTATGATTATACAGTAGAAGTGAGAAATAGATTTAAGGGGCTAGATCTGATAGACAGAGTGCCTGAGGAACTATGGACAGAGGTTCGTGACACTGCACAGGAGACAGGGATCAAGATCATCCCCATGGAAAAGAAATGCAAAAAAGCAAAATGGCTGTCTGAGAAGGCGTTACAAATAGCTGTGAAAAGAAGAGAAGCCAAAAGCAAAGGAGAAAAGGAAAGATATTCCCATTTGAATGGAGAGTTCCAAAGAATAGCAAGGAGAGATAAGAAAGCCTTCCTCAGTGATCGATGCAAAGAAATAGAGGAAAACAACAGAATGGGAAAGACTAGAGATCTCTTCAAGAAAATGAGAGATACCAAGGGAACATTTCATACAAAGATGGGCTCGATAAAGGACAGAATTGGTATGGACCTAACAGAAGCAGAAGATATTAAGAAGAGGTGGCAAGAATACACAGTAGTGAAGTCACTCAGTCATGTCTGACTCTTTGCGATCCTGTGGACTGTAGCCTACCAGGTTCCTCTGTCCATGGGATTTTCCAGGCAAGAATACTGGAGTAGGTTGCCAATTCCTTCTCCAGAGAAGAACTGTACAAAAAAGATCTTCACGACCCAGATAATCACAATGGTGTGATCACTCACCAAGAGCCAGACATCCTGGAATGTGAAGTCAAGGGGACCTTAGAAAGCATCACTACAAACAAAGCTAGTGGAGGTGATGGAATTCCAGTTGAGTTGTTTCAAATCCTGAAAGATGATGCTGTGAAAGTGTTGCACTCAATATGCCAGCAAATTTGGAAAACTCAGCAGTAGCCACAGGACTGGAAAAGGTCAGTTTTCATTTTAATCCCAAAGAAAGGCAATCCCAAAGAATGCTCAAACTACTGCACAATTGCACTCATCTCACGCACTCATCTCACAAAATTTTCTAAGCCAGGCTTTAGCAATATGAGAACCGAGAACTTCCAGATGTTCAAGCTGGTTTTAGAAAAGGCAGAGGAACCAGAGATAAAATTGCCAACATCCGCTGGATCATCAAAAAAGCAAGAGAGTTCCAGAAAAACACCTATTTCTGCTTTATTGACTATGCCAAAGCCTTTGACTGTGTGGATCACAATAAACTGTGGAAAATTCTGAAGGAGATGGGAATACCAGACCACCTGACCTGCCTCTTGAGAAACCTGTATGCAGGTCAGGAAGCAACACTTAGGACTGAACATGGAACAACAGACTGGTTCCAAATAGGAAAAGGAGTACGTCAAGGCTGTATATTGTCACCCTGCTTGTTTAACTTACATGCAGAGTACATCATGAGAAACACTGGGCTGGAAGAAGCACAAGCTGGAATCAAGATTGCCAGGAGAAATATCAATAACCTCAGATATGCAGATGACACCACCCTTATGGCAGAAAGTGAAGATGAACTAAAGAGTCTCTTGATGAAAGTGAAAGAGGAGAGTGAAAAAGTTGGCTTAAAGCTCCACATTCAGAAAACTAAGATCATGGCATCTGGTACATCACTTCATGGGAAATAGATGGGGAAACAGGGGAAACAGTGTCAGACTTTATTTTTTTGAGCTCCAAAGTCACTGCAGATGGTGATTGCAGCCATGAAATTAAAAAATGCCTACTCCTTGGAAGGAAAGTTATGAACAATCTAGATAGCATATTAAAAAGCAGAGACATTACTTTGCCAACAAAGGTCCGTCTAGTCAAGGCTATGGTTTTTCCAGTGGTCATGTATGGATATAAGAGTTGGACTGTGAGTAAGCTGAGGGCTGAAGAACTGATGCTTTTGAACTGTGGTGTTGGAGAAGACTTTTGAGAGTCCCTTGGATTGCAACGAGATTCAAACAGTCCATCCTAAAGGAGATCAGTCCTGGGTGTTCATTGGAAGGACTGATGCTGAAGCTGAAACTCCAATACTTTGGCCACCTCATGTGAAGAATTGACTCATTGGAAAAGACCCTGATGCTGGGAGGGATTGGGGGCAGGAGAAGAAGGGGATGACAGAGGATGAGATGGTTGGATGGCATCACATACTTGATGGACATGAGTGTGAGTAGACTCCAGGGGTTGGTGATGGACATGGAGGCCTGGCATGCTGCGATTCATGGGGTCGCGAAGAGTCAGACTTGACTGAGCGACTGAACTGAACTGAAAATGTATTTGAGCAAGGGTTAGAAGGAAGTAAAATTATTTCACTTGTTAGAATAGTTGGATTACACGTGATTTTTCTCTTTTCATTATTTCCATTATTGTTTATAAAATGCTGTGTGTGCACTTTCCCACGGTCACTTCCCAGCAAATCTGTTATGTGCTGGCAGCTGGCATTACATTAAAATACAGGTACAGAGGAGGGCCTACCTTTTCTCAGTTACACTCTGATAATGCTCCTCCTTTGGGCCTTTTTCTGTGGGGTCGCACTGCTCAGAGGGAGCAGGGATGGTGGGCACGGGCAGGGAAGGCAGCCTCTCTGGGAGGATGGGGCAGGTGGTTGCATGTGGCCATGGAGGGGGGCGGTAGTGGGGGAAGGAGGAGACTCTCCACTAGGAAACAAATGAGGCTTTTCTGTGCCTTTCCACAGGAGGGTTCCGTGTGGGAAGTCAGAAGGAGAAGCATCACGGTGGCCCAGCCTCCATGTGAATACTCAGAGCCAGTACCTTTTGTTCCTGAAACCCTAAATTCAGTGTGTAGTGTCTGGGTTGCTTTGGTCTCCTAAACCTTTACAAGGAAATCACAATGTAAACTCCCACATTCTGATTACATCCTCTGCTTCACACTGACTCCAAAGGGAGTTGCTGGCCTTCAGGGAAGGAGAGAATTTGGCCGGGTCCACAGAACCAGTCCACAGTGTCTAAGAGCTGCTTCTTCTGTCAAGTGGGAGGACCACAGCTGAAATTTGAAGTGTTTCTTTAAAAAAAATTTTTTTTAAGTACATAAGTCTACCTAAGTCCTTTTATCTAACTCCAAATAATTCTGAAATGGCTAAAGGGAGTTGGGTGGATATATGATCAGATCCATCTCATCTTTTCACCTTAGTTCTCCTTGCCTCCTCTGGGAAGCAGGCCAGGAACTAAGCAGCCTGGCCTTCAAAAAAGATGATTATCTTACAGTGGAATTTTTTTTAGTTCAGTTTGCTCTTTATCTATTTTCAGCAAAGCAAAGTATGCAAAACTTTGTACATTCTCCCTGGAGCACAAATGTTTTTACTGGCAACATGACAACACATAGGTCTCTAATTGCACACCTCGGAAAGCCTGGACCCCCAGATATTTCAATGGTTTCCAGTTTAAAAGCATATAAATAGTAAGAAACCAATTTCCTTCATCCTCAATTCTAGGTCCTCAACAATTGGGCCTTATTTCGTACTGTCCCTCAGTGTTGCACTGGTGGGTTCATCATTCTGGACTGGCTACGTGTAGTCCTGCCTGTTACCTTCACCAGCATCCTCTTTTTGTCCTCCTCCAGAACAAGCCCTCTTATTTTCCTCCATTGATTCAAGTGGGGGTAGGTTCCCCCACATCATCTCCACTGTGGGCTTCTCCCCTCCCAGCTGCTTTAGAACTTCCTATGCAGGGACTTCTTCTGGAAACACAGCTCTGGCTCTTTCTCATCTCCATATAACACCTGTCTCCCCTTCTCGAGGTGGGAGTGGCATTTTTCCTGGCCTATCCTCCTTTCTTCTTTTCCTCAACTAACGTCCATCTCTATACCTTCCCAATATCCAGCTCTACTGAGAGCATTTTAGTTTATTTTCTGAGTAAACCCCTTTTACAACAGTCCCAAGATTAGCAAAAGGAAAGGAGCTAAGAGTGTTTTGGAACTTCTGTAATTTCTTGATGCTTATTGAAGACTTGCTAGTAGGCCTGCAGTAATTCTGAGCTTTCTCTGCTGGGGCAGCACCAACCCCATTCCTTCATGCTGGCTCTCCTCAGATACAGGCATCAATTTTCCTCCTGGAACAAGTCAGAACCTCCCACAAACACTTCCTTGATGCACTGGCCAGAGAGGAATAGATTCAAATTATATCACATTTGTTTTAAGATCACTTTAAATAGGGATGTTACTTCATTGTTTTGGCTCTTCTCACACTTTAAAATCCTTGGTTACTATGTTATAATATATTGCTATCAATTAATATTTACATGACTAATGACATAATTTGGATGGGAGTCAAATTATTAAAATAGTAAGACTAGTTTCACTGCTTCTGATAAACCCAGTTTACTAAGCATCCTCAGTGTCTTTATCTCATGTGTTTATCTGAGAAATCGTGCTGAGTTGGAGTTCCTGGATTAGCAATGGGCATACAAAACTAAAACCTCAATTGTTCTTACTAATAGGACTACCTACTAGGTCATTGTTAGCTACCTAAGGGCTGTCTGCAAGCTTTTGACAGTGAATACTTGGCTTTGACCTTGCCACACTAGCTCAGGAAGGCCAGGAGGGGAAAGCAAATGAAAGCAAACTAGTATTTAAAGGGTACTTGTACATCCTTCTAAACTTCTTCATATTCTAATCCGCGGAGCCACCTTCTAAGACAGGTATCATCAGCCTTATTCTACAGATGACAACAGAGACCCAGAGAGTAAAGAGCCCAGCCTCCAGTAATCAAGTGACAGAGGCAGGGCAAAACCCCAGGCTCCCCAATTCTGACTTGGCATACTTCGTGGTTTAGCCAACAAATGTGGAATCAATCAGTTTGGAGACAGTATATGATGGAACTTTCCCTTTGCCATTCTGTCATTTATGAGGAAATATTTTAGTCCTGTCTTTCCGAGCATTCCTGGTGGCTCAGACAGTAAAGTGTCTGCCTGCAATGTGGGAGACCTGGATTCGATCCCTGGGTCAGGAAGATCCCCTGGAGAAGGAAATGGCAACCCACTTCAGTACTCCTGCCTGGAAAATCCCATGGATGGAGAAGCCTAGCAGGCTACTGTCCATGGGATCACAAATAGTCAGACGCAACTGAGCGACTTCTCTCTCTATCTTTCTGAGCATTAAGGGCTTCACAGTAATTAATTAGATGGGGGAAATCTTTCCATAGTATATACTGTATATGTATATCAAATATTACATTGTTCACTCAAATTTTATTCTTCAACTATGCCTCAATAAAGCTAAAAAAAAAAGCACATCATGGAATTTCAACTGAATATTGAAGGCAATTTTAATCACCTTTAATCACTTACCAATACCCTCAGTTCCTCCCCAGTCACCTCTCAGAGGGTTAGGACTCAGAGGAAATTCAAAACATGCTGGACAATTTCCAAGTTTAGCAAAACTGAAAAGGTAGGCCACAATGTCATGAAGAGGGGCTATCAGCTGTAGAGTTAGCTTTAAGGCTCTAAAAGCTGCCTGTGAGTAAATCAATACAAAGAAGTAAGTTTCAAGAAATTTCTAAGGTGATACAAAAATATATGAGCATTGATTAGGGACAATATATTTAAGAATTTTTAAATAAACATTTTCACAGACTAATACATGATAATAGCTACAGGATAGTATCTGAAAAAGTGAACAACAAACTTTTCATGAACTCGGGTTATATATGTCTTTTGACAAGGTAACTCCTGCTAGGGAATTAAAACAATGTGTTTCTCTTTCTTTAAAGCCATTGGTGGCCAAAAACACATCAAAATATGATTGTATTACCAATGTCAACGAATTACAAAGTTCACAAATAAATTCCTAGCAGGGACTCATATTCAGACAACATTGCCCTGAGGGCTGTTATTTCTTCCTTCCTGTAAGGAAAACATAACTACTTGTCAACATAGTTTAAACACAAGACTAAAAAACAAACAATGGATCTTAAATATCAACATTCAGCAAAGGAAAAGAGAAAAATTATGACTTAACTGCAGAAAGTAGCAGCTTTATATTTTTTAAAAGCCCTAAAAAATTTTCATGGTGAATAAATGAAGTAAAGCATAGTTCTATTTCTAATTTTTTGAGGAATCTCCACACTGTTTTCCATCATGACTGCACCAGTCATTCCTACTAAGAGTGCACAAATGTTCCCTTTTCTCCACAGCCTCACCAACAGTTGTTCTCTTGTCTTTTATAGTAACAGCCATCCTAACAGGTGTGAGGTGATATCTTATCACAGTTTTGATTTGCATTTCCCTGATGGTTAGTGATGTCGAACACCTTTTCATTTATGTGTTGGTCATTGGTATGTCTCCTTCGGAAAAATGTCTATTTTGACCATTTTAAAATCAGATTATAGGTTTAAAATTTTTTTCTTTGTTTTGTTCTTGCTTTTGCTATTGAGTTATATGAGTTCCTGACATATTTTAGGTATATATAGTTTGCAAATATTTTCTCTCATTATGTAGGTTGCCTTCTCCGTCCATTGATTTGTTCCTTTGTCAGCAGAGGCTTTTTTAGTTTGATATTATCTCACTTGTTTATTTTTGCCCTTGTTACCTATGCTCTTGTTGTTGTATCCAAAAAAATCATTGCCAAGACTGGTGTCAAAGAGTTTTTTTCCCGGTTTTCCACTAAGATTTTATAGTTTCCAGTCTTAACAGTTATCTTTAATCCACCTGAAGTTAATTTTTGTGATTGGTGTAAGACAGGGATCCAGTTTCATTCTGTTGCATGTAAGATTATCATATATGATCCAGCAAACCCACTTCTGGGGATATATCAAAGGAAATAAATCAATATGTTAAGGAGATTATCAGCACTTCCATGTAGCATTACTCACAATAGCCAAGATATGGAAACAACCTGAGTGTCCAGTGTATGGATAAACAGATAAAGAAAACATCACACACACAAGCATACACACACAGGAATATTATTCAGACATAAAAAAGAACTGCCATTTACAACAACATGGGTAAACTCGAATGACATTATGCTAAGTGAAGTAAGCCACAGAGAAAGACACACTATATGATCTCACTCTTATGTGGCATCTAAAAATGAAGGTCAAACTTACAGAAAGGTAATTTCCCCCAGGGGATGGGGGAAATGGTGTGATGTGGTCAAGAGGTACAAACTATTTATAAGACAAATAAGTTCTGAGGATCTAATGTACAGCATGGTGACTATAGTTAAGAACACTGTATTGTATACTTGAAATTATGTTAGAGTTGGATAAGCATTCTTACCTCCAAAAAACAAAAAAAGTAACTATGTGAGGTGATGAATGTATTAACTGTGGTAATCATTTTATAATGTATATCAAGTCATCATGCTGTACAATTTAAATATATACAATTTTATTTGTTAATTACACCTCAATAAGTATTAGATGGGAGAAGGAAATGGCAAGCCACTCCAGTATTCTTGCCTAGAGAATCCTGTGGACAGAGGAGCCTGATGGGCTGCTGTCCATAGGGTCACACAGAGTCGGACACAGCTGAAGCGACTTAGCATGCATGCATGCATTGGAGAAGGAAATGGCAACCCACTCCAGTATTCTTGCCTGGAGAATCCCAGGGACAGAGGGGCCTGGTGGGCTGCCGTCTATGGTGTCGCACAGAGTCAGACATGACTGAAGCGACTTAGCAGCAGCAGCAGCAGCAACAGCAGCAAGTATTTGTTGCTCAGTCATGTCTGACTCTGCAACCCCATGGACTGTATGTAGCCCTCTGTCCATGGAATTCTCCAGGCAAGAATACTGGAGTGGCTTGCCAATCCCTTCTCCAGGGGATCTTCCTGACCCAGGGACTGAACCAGGATCTCCTGCATTTCAGGCAGATTCTTTACCATCTGAGCCACCAGGGAAGCCCCACACCTCAAAAAAGTTGGGGGGGGTGGGCGGGAGAAAGGGTGAGAAACCTAGATTGCTAAACAGGTTTTCACTTAAAAAGAAAAATCAGAATGTTCGCAAATTGCCATTTTCAAAACTGTATTTTATTTAATTAATACTTGAATGCATTTTGTATTTCTATATCTATTCTTTTTTTTTTAATATATCTATTCTTTTTAATGGTTACCCTTTATCAGTAAATGAGACATTTAGAGGAACTCCTCAAAAAACAGGAACCAGCTAATTACTGTGATTAAGTGTGAGCTCAGCTTCAACACATCAGGTTGGGGTTTTCTTGGCGCTGGGGAGGAAATTAAGGATTAATAAGGAGTCTCAGAAGCTCCATTAGTGTTCAGTAATGACCACGGAGAAGGAGGACGATGAAGTAACGAGGCACAAGGGAAATTATAATAAAGCAAGCAAAAATATGAGAAGCTGAGAGATTTCAGTTATTAAATGTTCCTGGGAAAAAAAACCCAACAAGAGATATTCTCTGAAACTGACATGTTTAACTGGGGGACATAAAAACAGCCAGTTTCCATTCTGGCACACATAAAAAAATACAAACCTTTTCTGGCAGAGTTTTGAACATAACCAGCACTTCAGAAGGATGGGGTATGAACCATAAGTTGAGGAAGACTTTCCCATCAGCAGACAGCAAACGCCGTGGCCGGGGCTGAAAACTCCTGCGGTGTGAGAAGAGATTTCCAGTAGCACAGTGTTTCTCTCTCTAAAGGGGGCTCCCGGTGTGAACTATTTATACCTCCACCCTCCAGCCGCAGTGCCAGAGCCCGCACTGCGGTGACACACACATCCAGTGTCTAAGCCCAAGGGCAGCAGGACTCCTTTTCAGGCAGCTCACAAGGGGACACAGTTATAAATAACTCACTGGGAGAAGAGCAGTTGGGCTGGTTTTAGCCTCAGCTGTGTTGGGAGGAAAGCGTGGGCACAGACGCAGGGAAAGGTGTGATAGGAAAGGAAGCAGAGACGGCATGAATTAGGTGCTGACACCATACTGGGGGTGACAATTTTCTCACTTAATTCTTATGACAAACTTGGGATGTTCCGATGCTGTTCTTGGTTCATAGAGGAGAAAACGGAGGCCCTACCAGGTTAGAGATGGGATGGTTGGGTGGCATCACCAACTCAATGGACATGAGTTTGAGTAAACTCCTGGAGTTGGTGATGCCATCCAACCATCTCATCCTCTAACCTGGTAGGGCCTCCGTTTTCTCCTCTGTGAACCAGGAACAGCATAGGAACTGTTTTGATTGAGCATCACCAACTCAGTGGACATGAGTTTGAGTAAACTCCTGGAGATGGTGATGGACAGGGAGGCCTGGCGTGCTGCAGTCCATGGGGTCGCAAAAAGTTGGACACGACTGAGCGACTGAACTGACTGACTGACTGACTGACCGACCAGGTTACAAAGGTCTTGCTTAACCAACTCGTTAGAGAAGTTGAGATTTAAGCACAGATGTGTCCAGTTCTAGAATTCAGGCTCTGGAGACCAACCTCTGTTTTCCTTCCTTCCCCACCAGATTCCTGTCAAGCTCTCCCTCCTCCTTCCTATATTGTGCTAAGCCTCTTCAGTTGTGTCAGACTCTTTGAGACCCCATGGACTGTAGCCTGCCAGGCTCCAGTGTCCATGGGATTCTCCAGGCAAGAATGCTGGGCTGGGTTGTCATGCCCTCTTCCAGGGGATCTTCCCAACCCAGGGATCAAATCCACATCTCTTAAGTCTCCTGCATTGGCAAGAGGGTTCTTTACCACTAGCTGCCACCTGGGAAGCCCCTCTTCAAATATTGGGTTGGCCAAAAAGTTGGTTCAGGTTTCCCCATAAGGTGTTACAAAAACTTGAATGAAGTTTTTGGCCAACTCAATACTTTATCATTTCTTAGGCACTAGTATAGCAGTTTTTTTGTTACAAACATAATTCATATATGTCTGGATTAAGGACTCACACAAGCCCAGTTGCCTACTGTCTTGCCTGGGGTATAGAACATGGCCAGCTCCTCTGAGAGCTACAGAGTTCCTCAGTTCCTCAGTCCCAACCTGCTCCACCTTGGCTGGCAGTGACTCAGACCACCTCAGTCAAAAAGGGCAAGAACTGAACTCCTCACCCCCATCCCCACCCTGATCCTGGGCTTCGTCCTGTGTTAAGAGAACCATAACCTCCAAGTCCTCAAAACCAGAATCCAGGGGTTTTAGATGCTTCCTTCTTTACCCCTCAGGTCCTATTGACCCCATAGCTCTCTTTTGTGCAGTTTCCATTCACACTCCATTGTCTACAGAAAGGACTCTCAATGGGATGGTTTCACCTTCTAGAGAGCATTTTGGAAATCATTGGGCCAGTTTTTGATTGTCATTATTTCTGGGTCCTTAGGAGAGATTCAGATGACTCATTTCATTTCCTAAAATAAAATGTAATTCATTTTAACTGAGATCTAATGTTTTCCATATCAAACATTCTGAATATGAAACTTAAAATTTTTAAAACACTACTTGGGTTAGTCTCAAGCCTCAGGGTTTTAATTAGGTAATTTGAAGTTCAGAAACAAAGTATGGTGGTGTTAGCTTGGAGAACTCTTATTTCAGCCACCAAAAGTCAGACTATCCTGTCCTGGAGCAGATCAAAACCAGGTTAATCTCATCCTATCTCTGTTATTTACTCAAAGGTGCTCTAAAGAAACACTGACAATCAACAAGGAGCACAGCCAATCACGTGAACTACACTCCCACTAGCCATTCAATTCTTTATTTCTTTGTAGTTACAGCCCATCTAGCAAAACCCCAACTCTGGATCCCTCTAGCTAGTCTGCTTTCTGCTTCTAGGCACATGTTGCTGAGCACAGCTGGAGGAAATCACACTGCTAATTTTATTGATGCAACAAATAAATGGTTTCCAGTCTGAGCTGTGTCACGCCAGGAAAAACTGGTTTTCTTTCCTTTGATCAGCTCTCATGTCCATTTCCTTTTTTCAGTAACTCCAAATCTTCCTTAAGCCTCATACCAGATTCCTAGCAGCAGATGATGACATGGTCTATTATTTCATAATTGAATCAAAGGGTCTGGAACTGCCTCCACTTCCTGAGGGCTCATTTCCCCCCTCCCCATCCTATCTTTCAAACCAAGGTCCAAGGCAGAGGTACACACCCAGGGTATGAAGTGAAGATAGGCTCTGCCCTCAAGGATCTTACATTCCGGAGGCAGCTAGACCTGCAAGCATGATGCTGTGATGGATGTGTGGAGGAATGGAAGTATGTGAAAGTTAATAACATCTAGAATAAGAAGAGTCTGAGATTTGTTGGGAGACCAAGGGAAGAAATTCATAGCTGGTGCCTCTGAGCTGTGATTCATTATCTCCCCTTCCACATCTGTCCTCTTAATGGCATGACCATTCTTTTTTCCCCCCATTAAAAAAATGTGATAAAACATACATAACATAAAATTTACCATTTTAACTGTTTTTAAGTGCACATGTCAGTGGCATTAAGTACATTTACACTGTTGTGCAACCTACCACCATTTATCTCCAGAAGAAAAATTTTTTCCATCTTCCAAAACTGAAATTCTGTATCCGTTAAACAACAGCAAGACTACCATCTTTTTATCCACAAGCCAGAGGGACTCTGGGTAACATCCTAGATTCCTCTTCCTTCTCCTCATTCAGCTCTGCAGTAAATCCAGCACCTAGCTGATTTAACTTTGCTAAACATCTCCTGTCTGTGCGGTTTGAGTAGGTTCCTAAATGGTCACCAACAATCATCTTGCCCCCCTTTTCCCTGTTTGAAAGTGAAAGTTACTCAGTCATGTTCAACTCTTTGCAAGCCCATGGACTGTAGCCCGCCAGGCTCCACTGTCCACGGAATTCTCCAGGCAAGAATACTGCAGTGGGTTGCCATTTCCATCTCCAGGGGATCTTCCTGACACAGGGATTGAACCTAGGTCTCCTGAATTGCAAGCAGATGCTTTGCCATCTGAGCTACCAAGGAAGCCTGTTTGTTGAAGGCCAAAGAGCAGACTTCTGGATCTTGCCCGTTGCACTATCCATTCTGCTTCCCCAACTCATCCTCATATACCCGGGAACAGGAGCCACTGGGAGGTCCACACGGCTGTCTCATGTCATGAGGTATGCTGTCTCATATCTACGTGGGGCTCCCAGCTTGAACTGAATTTCTTTCCCTGTCCACCTGAAACACTAGTCTTTTCAAGACCCAGGTTAAGTGTACTCCCTTCCCTGAAGCCCACCTAGTTCTTCATCCCCACCTCCCTGATCCTTCAGATAATACTGAATATTTCTTGGTTCTTTCGTTATACTTTAATTTTATTCTTTATCACAACATTGGGTCGTTGTCTATTTCCTCTTGCCTGAAGGGCAAGAACCATGTTTAATTCATTGCTATACAGCTCTTGGCATCAAGGCTACCATGTACCATTGTTCAGTTTGTGTCCTGAGGCAAACAGCAGTAGCTAAAATCCAGTCTATACTTGACTTGCCAAACTCTGCACTCTGGCCTGGGACTACCCCTGCCCAAAGGAAACGGTACTTTCTTATAATCCTCATAAAGCAGCCGTGTGGGAGAGTGGTGGGTCTGCCTGTCACACAGTAAGGGCTTGAGTATTAGTGTCCTCTCTCTTTGTCCCTTTTTCAATCACCCATCAGCCAACACCACTACTCCTTGCTCCTGGGAGTATGGCCAAGTGTCAGCCTAGTCTCCAGACTCCAGTCTCCCCTAGAGCCATGAAGGGCACAGAGCCCTCATGAGGCATCCTTCTTTGGAGGAGAGCTTCCCCTGGCCCCTCTTCTATTTAGGTTCTGGTTCAGAGGCAGGGTGTCTCTGCTAAAACTAAACACTATGTTTCAGCCCTTTAAGGATTAAGTAGTGTCTTAGACTTTTAAACCTATAGAATTTATGGGACTCTTCTAGTCAAGGAGATGGCAGACACAAGCAGGGAGGCCTCCTTTCTCCCTTTCCTTGACCATGGTCATTGTCAATCAATCACAACAATCTCACAAGCTTGGGGTGTCTTAGAATCCTTAGCAGGACACTAATACGTTGTTGAATCGACATTTAAAATAAAATATTTATTCTTAATATAACCCAACTCCTTATTTTAGGAATAAGGCAAGGACCTCTATCCATGACCCTCATTCCTCAACTCTGTCCCTTCATCTTTAGCTAATCTTGACCAGAGTCAATGACATATTTACCTTTGCAACTCCAGTATTCATAGCAAAGTGCTTGATACTAAGTAAGCACTGAACAAACAATGGTTGAATAATCCATGAATGATAAGGGAGCAAAAGAGTGGTCTGATACAAGCGGTCTTTCAATTCCCTTCTATCTTTCTGTTCTGTGGTCATATTTATTAAGTATTAACCTTACTCAGCACTAAACTCTCTGCCATGCCATAAGGGAAAGAGTAAGGAGGGAGTCAACTTCACCCTATAGGGTGTTTCTGCTCGCTCTTGGAGTCTATGTAACTATGTAATACCCCCTTCTTTTCCTTAAAGGAAATGTGGTCACTTACAACAAACGTATGCCAACTCCTCCATCTAAGTGAGTGAACTCTAGGTAGGCTGAATTAAGAACATTTGGAAAACTGGACAAGGCATGCTAAGAAAGTATAGAAGCAGCTCCACTCTTATCACTTAATATCTATGTATGTATGTATGTATGTATCTATCTATCTATCTATCTATCTATATATCAGAGAAGTACAGGACACTGATTTACCCAAAGCACTGAAGTATAGTTTTTTCCCTGAATATTTCTTCTACTTCACTGAGTAAAATACTCAAAGCCACAACAGTTCTAGACTATGTCTACTTATTTGTTTGCTTATTTTAGATTTTGGCTTATGTAAAAGGGTGTGACTGATGAAAATTTCTGGGTACTCCAGGGCAAAACAAAACTTCATAGATTGAAAAAGCAATCATACAGCTCATAAACAAAGAACTCCCTCTGTATTCAAATACAAAGATACTCTTATTCTTAGAGTATTAACTCTTTCTTTTGCCCTTCTGGACAGAAGATCCAGGTTAAATACCAAACTTAATAAACCTCTCCCCTGGGAGGAGTGGGGAGAGGATGGGGGAATAACAAGCTCGAAAGAAAATTCCACACCTAGGGTCATTCTTGAGGCCATCATCGGAGTCCCTCAACCCCTTCTTTTCTTGTCGTTGTCCCACCATGAAAAAAGTATCTCTGATGGTAGGGAAATCGTCCAGTAGGGCTCTCAGGCTGTTGCAGTATGCTATGATCTGCCCCCGAAGAGCATAGTGAGACATATGTTGGTTGAACCTGAAAAGTCAGAAGAAGAGATAACGTGCAGAGGTGAATTCAAGTTGTTCAATCTCTCACAGAAGTTCGAGGATCTAACTCCCTGGAGACTTTTCAAAGAGAATAGAGGACTTCTGTCAAGAAGAAACTTCTGACTTGGTCAGATTGCTATTGCCTGAACACACAGGCATGAACCTCTTCCAAGTGCCTCTTATCTGTCATTTCTGATGCTGCTTCCTCTGTGTGTCAGAGGACAGTTCAATTTGCTTTCATCCAGGAAACATTACTATGAAAAAGATAGTGGAGGTGATGGAATTCCAGCTGAGCTATTTCAAATTCTAAAAGATGATGCTGTTAAAATGCTGCATTCAATATGACAGCAAATTTGGAAAGCTCAGCAGTGGCCACAGGACTGGAAAAGGTCAATTTTCACTCCAATCCCAAAGAAGGGCAATGCCAAAGAATGTTCAAACTACCCCACAATTGCACTCATTTCACATGCTAGCAAAATAATGCTCAAAATCCTTCAAGCTAGGCTTTAACAGTATGTGAACCAAGAACTTCCAGATGTACAGACTGGATTAAGGAAAGGCAGAGAAATCAAAACCACAATGAGGTACCATTACACACCAGTCAGGATGGCTGCTATCCAAAAGTCTACAAGCAATAAATGCTGGAGAGGGTGTGGAGAAAAGGGAACCCTCTTACACTGTTGGTGGGAATGCAAATTAGTACAGCCACTATGGAAAACAGTGTGGAGATTTCTTAAAAAGCTGGAAATAGAACTGCCATATGACCCAGCAATCCCACTTCTGGGCATACACACCGAGGAAACCAGATCTGAAAGAGACATGTGCACCCCAATGTTCATCGCAGCACTGTTTATAATAGCCAGGACATGGAAGCAACCTAGATGCCCATCAGCAGACGAATGGATGAGGAAGCTGTGGTACATATACACCATGGAATATTACTCAGCCATTAAAAAGAATTCATTTGAATCAGTTCTAATGAGATGGATGAAACTGGAGCCCATTATACAGAGCGAAGTAAGCCAGAAAGATAAAGACCATTACAGTATACTAACACATATATATGGAATTTAGAAAGATGGTAACGATAACCCTATGTGCAAAACAGAAAAAGAGACTCCTATGTATAGAACAGACTTGTGGACTCTGGGAGAAGGCGAGGGTTGGATGTTTCAAGAGAACAGCATTGAAACACGTATATTATCTAGGGTGAAACAGTTCACCAGCCCAGGTTGGGTGCATGAGACAAGTGCTCGGGCCTGGTGCACTGAGAAGACCCAGAGGGATTGGGTGGAGAGGGAGGTGGGAGGGGGGACCGGGATGGGGAATACATGTAAAAAAAAAAAAAAAGATACACTATGGTTGTGATAAAAAATAAATAAATTAATTAATTAAAAAAAAAAAAAAAGAAACAGATCACCAGCCCAGGTTGGGTGCATGAGACAAGTGCTCGGGCCTGGTGCACTGGGAAGACCCAGAGGGATCGGGTGGAGAGGGAAGTGGGAGGGGGGATCGGGATGGGGAATACATGTAAATCCATGGCTAATTCATTTCAATGTATGACAAAAACCACTGCAATGATGTAAAGTAATTAGCCTCCAACTAATAAAAATAAATGGAAAAAAAAAAAAAAAGGAAAGGCAGAGGAACCAGAGATCAACTTGTTGACATTAACTAGATCATAGAAAAAGCAAGGGGATTCCAGAAAGACATCTACTTCAGCTTCATTGACTACACTAAAGCCTTTGACTGTGTGGATCACAACAAGCTGTGGGAAATTCTTAAAGAGATGGGAACACCAAACTACCTTACCTGCCTCCTGAGAAACCTGTATGCAGGTCAAGAAGCAACAGTTAGAACCAGACATGGAACAACAGATTGGCTCAAAACTGGGAAAGGAGTACGTCAAGGCTGTATATTGTCACTCTGCTTATTTAACTTATGTGCAGAGTACATCATGCGAAATGCCGGGTTGAATGAGGCTCAAGCTGGAATCAAGACTGCTGGGAGAAATATCAATAACCTCAGATATGCAGATGATACCACCTTAATGGCAGAAAGCAAAGAGGAACTAAAGAGCCTCTTGATGAAGGTGTAAGAAGAGAGTGAAAAAGCTGACTTAAAGCTCAACATTAAAAAAACTAAGATCATGGCATCTGGTCCCATCACTTCATGGCAAATACAGGGGGAAACAGTGGAAACAGTGACGGACAATTTTCTTGGGCTCCAAAGTCACTGCAGACGGTGACTGCAGCCATGAAATTAAAAGATGCTTGCTCCTTGAAAGAAAAGCTATGACCAACCCAGACAGCATATTAAAAAGCAGAGATATCACTTTACCGACAAAGGTCTGTCTAGTCAAAACTATGGTTTTTCCAGTAGTCATATGTGGATGTAAGAGTTGGATATAAAGAGGGATGAGAGCTGAAGAATTGATGCTTTTGAATTGTGGTACTGGAGAAGACTCTTGAGAGTCCCTTGGACAGTATGGAGATCAATCCAGTCAATCCAAAAGGAAAGCAACTCTGAATATTAATTGGAAGGACTGATGCTGAAGCTGAAACTTCAATCCTGTGGCTACTTGATGCAAAGAGCTGACTCACTGGAAAAGACCCTCATACTGGGAAAGACTGAGGGCAGGAGTAAACAGGGACGACAGAGGATGAGGTGGTTGGATGGCATCACCGACTCAATGGACATGAGTTTAAGTAAACTCTGGGAGATGGTGAAGGACAGGGAAGCTTGGTGAAGGACTGTGCTGCAGTCCATAGGACTGCAAAGAGTTGGACATAGTGTCTGAACAACAACAATAGGACTGTTAAATAGGCTTATTTAAACACAAACCAGATAACTAATTGTCCAGATTTCTATATAATACTGCTGTTTATTGAGTTCAGAGTCAGAAATCAGATTGTATAGTTTACATATACTATACTCACTTCTGGCAATATTCAACTATAACATCTCTTTTGACTTTCCCAATTTCATCCTGTGATAAAAGAGAATGACAGTTTTCCTATTAGACAATTGGCTGTAATAATTCTCCAAGCTAATACATGTGCACAAACTTATAGCCAACTTAAAGTGGGAGAAGGTCAAACAGTTGAGATGTTCTTTCTGAAGGTCAACCTATTGGGACGTACTCCCACTATGGGTCTTTTCTACTCCTGCACATCTTGTGAGTACACCAAGAATTCAACGCCCTGATCATTCTTTACCTGAACCATTTCTCAGGGTTATGTTCGAAGAGAGCAGTCTGGAGGGATGAGGTATTGTCTCCCTCCATGAAATAGAGCAAGTTTGCTATAATAGAGGTAGATTCCTAAACTCAATATTCTTCAACTGCGACACAAAACTGTACAACCTCGGCTCCTCCATGTTGCCCCTGTGGGACTTGGGAGGCAGAGAAATGACACAAACATGAGGCTCATGACGCTGGCTCTACTGTGAGTAACAAAGTTCTTTTTCTCTGACCTAAGAGTCTAATATTCGCTGTCAGCATCCTCAGAGCAGTAACAGGCTACCTTCTTAGCTTATAAGTAGGCTAAAATCCCAGACCTTGACAAAACTGACAATGATCTTGCCTGAATCCCTTCTAATCTAATAGACACTGGATATTACTGAAGGGCAGTTAATGAGCTAATACATTTTCACTTGGTCAGTATTTTTTTTAATATTATAAAGAGTAATTTATGTATCAAAGTAATTTACTTAAGTACCTATCAGAAGGAGTCGTTTGCCCACATCATTGCTGAGCAGTAATCTAAAAGGCCTAGCTTCCATCACAATCAATTTGTAGAACTGGATTAGGTAAATTGAAGTCCTTCCTTTTCAGTCATAAAAGAACTAAGCCTAGAGATGATAAACCTCATCATTTCATTCCCAAATAACTATATATTAGCCTAAGGACTTCCTCATCAAAAAAGTAATGAATAATGAAATAATATTCATAAAATTAAGCAGCACTTTTAATTGACTAAAGGTTTAAATTTTATGGAGAAGGAAATGGCAATCCAAAGGCTGCTGTTGCTACTGCTAAGTCACTTCAGTCGTGTCCGACTCTCTGCGACCCCATGGACTTCAGCCTACCAGGCTCCTCTGCCCATGGGATCCTCCAGGCAAGAGCACTGGAGTGGGTTGCCATTGCCTTCTCCGGTACACACAGGTTAGGTTAGTATAAAACCATTAAATAGAAACATGGTCGTAGTGTCCGAAAAACATAGTGGTTATGTCACCAACCTAACAGGTGAATTCTAGGTGGCAAATGCCCTTGCTCACCTTGTCTAAACCCCCTAAGTACCTGTGGGTCACTGAGGAACCACCAGATGTTTCCAAGTAGGTACTGAAATTCTTTCTGTTTAGAAAGTGGCAAAGCATAACGTGCCCTTGGAAAAATGTACATATTTTAAAAACTAGACTGCAATTAGCTTGATTTCCTTCCTTTCTATTTCTTATTGAACTTTTCCAGTTCTTTATATTTTCAATGGTTTTATCCAAATAGGCTGAAAGCAATAGGTTCCAAGTTAAGGATTTCTTACTTGCTCAAATGTAAAAGATGATGAGATCTTTAGGGAGCCCTTCTTACTATACTCACAAGGTTTTTCATTCTGTCAGCCATGGCTTGTTTCCTGAGGAGGAAGGCATTCAGCATCATGTCCCGCAGCCCCACCTTTTCTAGTTGAATAGACACGAAAGCTTCCGGAGCCCTGACAAGTGAACAGAGGCATGTGAGCCCAAGGCAGGAGACGAGTGCACACAGAACCGGAAGACAACTTGAGGCTCTCTGACTGACAGGAGCAGCCGGGGCTGCAAACTAGGCACTGCGGCAGGAGAGCAGGTAGCTCTGCCTCTGTGGTCCTCACTTGCTCCAAGTGTTTCTCTTTTGTTCACGGGGCATGCTGCTGTGTCACCATCCTTGTTGGGGACCACACTGTCCCTAGAGCATGCACCAGCAGTCCGTCCCCACTCCCAGACTTCATAGCCTGGCCCAGTGTTTGTACTCCCAGTGTCCCTTCCTGGTCTGAACTGTAGGGGTCCCTGGACTGATGTGGCCTTGTAAGGTTCCTCTTGATTAGACACATTGGTCTTAATTCTCCCATCCACACACTGGAAATGTGGATTTAGGACACTTGAACTCTGGCCATGTGTCAGATTAATGGCATCTTGAGGAGTAGAGAAGATTTGCCTGTCATTTTCTTTTTCATTCTAAATTTGCCAGGATTAGACTAGAGTGTCATTGGTATGCCTTAGTTATTCAGAGTATTTGTAATTATTACAGAATACAAATCTCTTTCTTTGTCACAGTGAGAAGAGATCAGGATATAACAGGATGTCCCTAGTTTATAGATACATATCTGTAGAGGCCCTGCCTCTCTTGACAGTTACCATTCTATTATTCTAAGCAATGGAAAAAACCCTTGGTAGGATAGTGAGGATAGTTCTGTCCTTTTCTGTTTAAAATAGAAGTGGAAAACTTGGACATGCTCATACTCTTCTTCCTTATGTTCTACCTTCTTTGGAGTTTGAAAAATAGAGAGGGAAGGAGGGAAGACAGGAAGAGAAAGATAAAGGAGAAGAGGGAGAAGAGAAAAGAGGTTGAAATTGGGAACTGTTGACTCTCCTTCATAGACTGGAGCATATTAGAAGAAGCTAAGCCTTCTTAGTGTTCATACAATGTTTTCAGACAAAGTCTTAAAAATTTTAACACATGCTGGTCACTCTGGGAGTTTAGGCATACTTCAATCCCATAATACTTGTATTAAATGACTTAAAAGAGGATACTTTTGTTATTATAAACAACCCCCCACTGCTCCCCCTGTGCAGTACCTTTTGGAAGCCTGGAATCTTTTTGAAGGATGAGTAAGGGCATCTGGGACTTTTGGAATTGGGGCTAACAGCATGCCTTCTATGCCATTCACAATTCTGGAATTTCTTCTTCTGGTTGGACCCACTCCATTATGATTTCTCAGATCAGAACTTATTTCCTACAATATTTCAAACCAAAGTGGATAAAATTTGTTGAATTTTTAAGTCTTGTGGTACTGACGGTAAAATTATCTAACAGCTATAACTGATCCCAAATACATGTAAATGGCTGGGTACCCTAGGGGTGAGAGAGAGTGCAAGGGAGAGAAGAGAAGAGAAAAAGTAAGGGAGTGCATGGAAGAGATACCACTTTGTACAAAGAAAGAGTGAGGCACTAAGTGTGCCTATTTCCAGAACAGAGTTGTCTAAAGTGCTCTCAGAAAAATTTCTCCATCTTACAAGGTGGCTAGTTGGAGTGCTTTGTATAGGGGCCTCTCAAGAAACACAGCTGATGAACTTCAGGGCACAAGATCTGAAAAATCATCTCAGGGTGCCATTCTGGTACAACCTAAGCAGACGGAGGTGGGCTGTATATGCTGTCCTGTACAATGTAATAATGAAGGAGGGAGAGGTGGAGGGATAGTGGGGGAGAGAGGAAGGAAGAGTGGGAAAAAAAAAGGGAAATCTGTATCTTCCAATATTTCTATTATTTATGGAGCTACAAGGAAAGATAGATAGGATTCTTTTACATTTTTCTAAAATACTAACTAAAAGAAAAACATTAAGCCTTCAAAGGAAAGCCCATTCTTTTTCAAAGAAAGAAAGTTTTCCACAGCTGAATTACTGATGGAAAGGAAAATGAGACAAAAGAAAAAAAATCTTGAGTTAAAAAGTCTAAAGTTTCCATCTTGATTTTTTCTGAAGACTCTTGGGCTATCCCAGTCTCCTGAAAATAGTAGAGTATACTAGTTCAGAAGACACAAGGGGCCTTAGAAAGCATATGAGTGAGCTAAGAGGAAAGAAAACAAGCTCGGTAATCAGAGTCCAGTGCTGACACTCAGAAGGTGATCTTGGCTCTGTCCCTTAACCTATCAGCCTGTTTCTTCACCTGGAAAGAAAGGGTAATGTCCTCCATCTCCTAGGGCTGTTCAGAGCATTCCATGAGTCCAGGCTCATCCATCACTTAGCTTACCACCATGCCCGGACAATAGAAACTGCTAAATTGAACCCTTAGTTCCTTGACTCCCTCAACTGCATTGAAAACCCCAACTATGATGATCTTTTGTTTCTATCCTCAATTTATTTTCCAGTCCCTTCCTACAAATATGATTACATCTATTTTATTCTTAATTCTCCTAACCCTCAAGTTTCTTTTTTAATTCTGACCCAACTTCTTAAAGAGTTATGCTGGACTAAATGTTTGTGTCTCCTCATAGATTCTTACGTTGAAGCCCCAACCCCCAATGTGATGGTATTTAGAAATGGGGCCTTTGGGAGGCAATTAGGGTTAGATGATGTCAAAGGGCAGGACCCTAATCTGATAGGGCTGGTAAAGCTGGTATAAGAAGAAGAAGAGACACCAGGACTTTCTTTCTGCCTTGTGAGGACAGTGAGAATGTGGCCATCTGCAAGGAAGAGAACTCTTACTAGAAACAGACACGCTGGCTCCTTGATCTTGGACTTCTAGCCTCCAGAACTGTGAAAAAATAAATTTCCATTGTTTAAGCTACCAGTCAATATTATTTTGGTATGGCTTCCCTAGCAGACTAACACAGAAGCTGTAAATATTCTGTGCTTCTACGTTTCTGTCATTCTCTTACTTCTCTACTCTGGTAGTCTGGCTTTCACTCTAACCCCATTAGAATAGCTCTCTCAGAGTCAGCAATGAACTTCTGAGAATGTAAAATAGCCTAATTTTAATTCCTGCTCTTCTTGTTCTTCCCTCTACATTAAATTCAACTTCTTCCTCCTCCTCCTAAAATATAATAGCTTTATTTAGGTATAATTGACATTTAGTATACACGAAGTATACAGTAAATTAAAGTATAAAGTAAATTAGATAGGTTTGGACATAAGTATACAACTGTGAAACCATTACTACAATAAAAATAAAGACCATAGCCATCCCTCCTACCTAGCCCACCTCCTCAAGCAACCACTGCTCTGCTTTCTCCAACTATAGATTAGAATGCATTTCCTAGAATTTTATATAAATGGAATCATGCAGTTATACATATATATATTTTTGGTTTGGCTTCATCCGTATTGTTGTATATGTCAACAACTCATTTCTTTGTATTGCTGAGCAATATTCCAGTGTAAAATATACCACAATTTATTTATCTATTCACCTGGTGGTGGACATTTGGATTTTTTCTAGCTCTTAGCTGTTTTAAATAAAGCTGCTATAAACATTTATGTATGTCTTTGTACGGACATGTGCTTTCATTTCTCTTAAGTAAATACCTAGGAGTGAAATGGCTGAATCATATGATAAGTATATGTTTAACTTTCTAAGAAACTCCCAAGCTGTTTTGCAAGGTAACCATTTTGCATTCCCATCAGCAGTGTATGAGTTTTAGATCTTCCATGTCATGCCAAGACTCAGAACAGTTAGTTTAAATTTTAGCCATTCTAGTGGGTATGCAGGGGTTTCTCACTGGACTTTTAATTGCATTTCTTGAATAATTAATGTGGTTGAATATTATTTATGTGTTTATCTGTCACCTGTTCATCTTCCTTGGTGACTCATTTCTTCTTGAAACACTCTCCATCTTTGGCTTGGACACAGTAACAATTTTATTTTCTCTCTGTTTCTTTCCTTCCTTCCTTCTTCCTTTCCCTTCCTTTCCCTTGTTCCCTCTCAATGTCTCCATCATTTATTCTTCCTTACTATATCATTAGACTTCTTCCTGTCCCACATCTGTAGAAGAGTATACAAATATACACACACACATATATAAAACTCACATGTATTACTATATATATTCATGTATTCATATATATATATATATATATATATATATATATGCACATATATATATAACCCTAGTGCCTCTCTACCCCTCCTTGTGCTATGTCTTTTCAGGCTATTACTCTAAATGCCTTCCCACCCCTGTCCTATCTTCCTATTTGGTGACTTTCACCACTTACTTCCTAGAGGAATCTCAGGAAGTGACTTAAAAGCCTCTCAACCTGGAAAAACCCCATTTATATCTGTTTTACATATTGGTGTTATTCATAAGATTAATTGAAAAAAAGATTCCATATGTCAACTATGCATGAAAACCACAGGTGGGGCCAAGATGGGCATCCATTTTTTCCCAAGACTCATTTGTCTTTTCATACTATGCTTGAGCATCAGAAGGTCTTCTCTCTTCTCAAAATGATCACATGGTCATCTCTGCCAGTCAAAACACTCATCCTTCAAGTTTTTCCCAATGTCCCTACTCTGTGCTGTCCTTTCTGGTTCCCCAGATGTGAGCCCTCTTTTTAAAAAATTCCTTCTATAGCTTGTTGAACTTCTATTATTCCTTGTATCTGAACCACTTTGAGCCTGTCCACATTTAATACACCAGATATAATTTCTCTAGTATTCTTGCTTGGAGAATTCCATGGACAGAGAAGCCTGGCAGGCTATAGCCCATGGGGTCACAAAGAGGTGGACACGAGTAAGTGACAAACACTTTCATTTTCACTTAATGAATCAGATCTCAGTGTTATCTGATGAGCCTAACTTAAAGTAGGTACTGAATTAAGACTTGAGGGGTTGAATTTTTAAAAATCAATATAACCTACTCTATCCTTATTGTCTACTTCAGTGTTTGATTTCTATGGGAATTAGTATTTGGCAGTAGAAGTGAAGATTGAATATCCTTGCCATACTTATGAATGTATACTCTTTTGTTAATGTAAAGAGTGAAAGTAGAGAAATGTACTAAGAGGTAAAATGTGGTAAGCTGTATAGAATTCATATATCAAGAATATAGATGCTGGGAAAGATTGAGGGCAGGATAAGCAGGCGAGCAGATGAAATGATTGGATGGCATCACTGACTCTATGGACAAGAGTTTGAGCAAACTCTGGAAGATACTGAAGGACAGGGAAGCCTGGCGTGCTGCAGTCCATGGCGTCACAAAGAGTTGGATATGACTAAGCAACTGAACAACAACAATATAGAATTCATAAGGCTTAAAGAATGGTTAAGACCATCTGGAAAGTTGACTTCCTAAAGTTATATTTAATTTTGCACCTAAATTATATTCACAAGTATATACACATAAGAGAGAACTATACAGTTGTTTTTAGAAATGGGGGGAAATCTCTGAATTAATTCAGAGTGATTTCTAGGATATACTGTTAAGTGGAAAAAAATGCCTTAGAATATTATATACAGATAAAATCGAAAACCCCTTCATGACAAATCATCAAAAAGCTAGGAATAGAAAGGAACATCCTCAACCTGGTAAAAAAAATTATCTAACAAAAACTCATAGCTAACATCATATGTAATGGTTAAAGATTGAAAGCTTTCCTCCTCAGATAAGGAATAAGACAATAATATCCATTCTCACATTTCTATTCAACCTTGTACTACAGGGTCTAGCTAGGGCAACTGGACAAGAAAAAGTAATAAAAGGCATCCAGAATGAAGAAAGAATGTTAAATTTATCTCTATTTGCAGAAGACATAATCTTTTACATAGAAGATCATAAGGAATTTACAAGCTTAGCAAGATTGCAAGATAAAAGATCAATTGTATTTCTATAAACTAATAATGAACACTGAAAATGAAACTAACAATTCTATTTACAATAATATAAAAATAATAAAATATTTTGGAATTAATTTAACAAGAGAAGTACAGAACCTGTACACTGAAAACTATAAAATATTGTTGAAAGAAATTAAAGAGGACATAAATGAAAAGACTTTCCATGTTCATGGATCAGAAGATTTAATATTGTTAAGATGGTAAGAGTATTCAAAGTGATTTACAGGTTCAATGCAATCCCTGTCAAAGTCCCAAATGGCTTTATTTTTTCAGAAATTGACAAGCTGATCCTAAAATTCATGTGAAAATGCAAAGGACCCGAAATAGCAAAAGCAATCTTGAAAAAGAACAAAGTTAGAAGACTCGTACTTAATTTCAAAACTTACCGCAACTCTACAGTGATCAAAACACAGTGGTACTGGCATGAAAACAAACATATAGACCAGTGGAATAGAATTAAGAGTCCAGAAATACACTCTTACATTTATGGTCTATTGATTTCTGTGTTAAGGGTGCCAGGACAATTCAGTGGGGAAAGATGAGTCTTTTCAACAAATGGTTTTGGGATAGCTGGATAACTACACTCAAAAGAATGAAATTGGACCCCCTATCTCATGCTACATATAAAAATTAGCTATAAAAAAAATTAGCTATAAATGCATCATAGACCTGAAAGTAAGAGCTATAATGACAAAACTTTTAGAAGAAAACAGGAGTAAATTTTTGTGACTTTGGATTAAACAATGGTTTCTTAAATATTAATGTAACACCAAAAGAACAAGTGAAAAAAGAAACGTAGGTAAATTGGACACATCAAAATGAAAAACTTCTGTTTCAAAGAATACCATCAAGAAAGTAAGATGATTCTCATAATAAAAGAAACTATTTGCCAATCATATACTTGATAAGGAACTTGCATTCAGAATATGCAAATAACTCTTACAATTCAGTAACAAAAAAAATCCAACTTTATAAAAGGGCAAAGAATTTGAATAGACATTTCTTTAATATATATATACAAATAGCCAACAAGCACATGGAAATATGCTCAATGTCATAAGTAATTAGAAAAATACAAATCAAAGCCACAATGAGATATCATTTTACCCTACTAGGGTGGCTAAAATTAAAAAGACAGTAATAAGTGTTAGCAAACTCAAAACATACATATGTCCTTAGAAAAACTTATACTTAAATGTTCATGGCAGTATTATTTATAATAGTCAAAAAGTAAAAACAACTCAAAGTCTGTCAATTGATAAATGGATAAATAAAATGTGGTATATAACATATACTAGAATACTCTTCATCAAAAAAAAACAAAAAACAAAACAAAAAGAAAATGAAGTACTGGTACATGCTACGACATGGATGAAACTTGAAAACACTGTGCCTAAGTGAAAAAATTCTGACATAAAAGGCCATATGTTGTATGATTCAATTTATATGAAATGTCTAGAATAGGGAAGTCTATAGAGACAGAAAGTGGATTACTGGTTGCTAGGAAATGAGGAAAGTGAGGGATGGGGATTGACTGCTAGTGGATACAGGATTTCTTTTTGAGAATGAGGAAATTCTGGAATTAGATGGAGGTGATGATGGTATGATCCTGAGAATTATATATTAAAGGGGTGAATTTTATGTTATGTGAATTATATCTCAATAACAACTAAAAAGTTCAAGAGAATATATTTTATGTTACCTTTTGTGACAAAAAGAAGGGCAAATGTATGCTTACTTTTGCAAAAAGAAATACAGGAATGATAAAACAGAAAACAATGAAATCATTTATCTACAAAGGGTAGGAGTGGAGGAACAGGCTATTTTCTGCTGGTTGATTCTAGCTAGTCAATATCACAGCAGTACATACAACAGAAAAATTAAAATTATTAGCAAACCTCTATCAATTAAGAGACCCAGTAAGAATCTAATCATGTGTTACTATGTATTAGGAAAGGAGAAAGGGAGGGGAAGAGGGAAGGAAAGAAAATAAAAAGATGGGGGAAATGGTCAAAAAGGGAGACAGGGAAGGAGGGAAATGGAAGGATGGGAAGAAAGAAAGGAGGGAGGAGTGTCAAATTGAGGGGAGGGGAAGGGGGATGGAGGGAGGATGGGGCAGCCTGACAGTAGCGGTAGCATGCCTCCGGCTTCTCTGACAGCTGACCTTGACATCAGCGGGACAGCTCCCACAGGGAGTGTGACAGCAGGATGCCTGCTGAACAGCCACCATTAAAGCATTCTTCTGAGTAGCCTGGCATGCCAGGGTCACTTGCATGTTTTCCACTCCTGAATGGCACAAGAGCTAAAGGAAGAAAATGTGAAAGTAATTAGGAATTTCTCTCATACAGAAAGAGAGTAAGTTGAGGGTGGGGATCACCACTCACTCAACACGTAAATATATGGATCAAACTGTTGGATTTGCCGAGACCCTTGCTCCTCAGCGACAAGCCTAAAGCTGCTTTCTCCCTAAGAAGTATTCCATCCTATGAAGGCAGGTTCTAGGCCTAATTGCTCTGTATCTGGACACCATCAGGTTTCCCCAGTTGTCAGATAAAGGATGCATAGGCTCTGATGAACTAGCAAACATACACTCAAAGGCAGGCTCTTGTAAAACTGCCAACATTAGATTAATGTTTAAAACATACACACACAAATACAAACCTGCACATACACATACAGAAGCAAAGAAGTCCATCTGAGTGGCAGGGAAAAATAACACCAGGTTTGAAAATATCGCTGGACTGCCAGGGAAGCCCCAACATGGGTTTCTTTTTAAAACCGAACAGAGGTTATCTCAAGAGGTATTACATGTCAGACAAGGCAAGCCATCATCATTATTAACGAAGGTGGAACCTTTTCTTGTCTATGGGGTCAAACTAATATGAATTAAACATTATACATTTTAAGGAATACACAAACAAGTTGCTTAATATTACTTTAGTTTCCTTTTGAGAAAAAAAATAATTTACCTTAAGAATGGCTTCCTTTGTATAAAAACTAAATTTGCCAATTTGGTTATCATCCACTTCAGAGATAGCTAAGACAAGAGTAGCAGGAGAATATCTGCAAGAAGAAACATGATGTTGTTTTGATGTGCCATACAGTTAGCCAGGAGATGCCTGTTCTGAAGGGACAGAGTCACGTGATCAGCTCTGAAATATCAGTAGTAACACCAAGGACAGATTTTACACAAGACTTAGTAACTCTACCCAAAAGCTGAAGGGCTCCAGGGTCTTTTCAGTCCTTATTGGCCTTAATCTTCTTGCAGTTTGGGTGTGGTAACCATCTATCTTAGACTTTCTGAAACTATTCTGATCACTATTCCTTTGCTCTCTTCCATATTTCCTCTTACCTTCTTGACCTCATTTGCACAGGCCCCTCACTGACTTGGCCCCATTTATTCACTTCCTAAATGCTATCTCATTCTCTCTCCCATGGCTCCAACAATCATCTAAATGGTCTTTGCAGCCATGTTTCTGCCTTGGGACATGATCCTTTATCCATAACTATAAGACTGTCAAGTAATTTAATATCTAGGAATCTTGGTTTCTTCATCTGTAAATGGAAATATCACCTATCTTAATGGAGATAAGCATGAATGTGCTTCTCAAAATGTAAGTCACTATGCTCATGGTTGGATGGCATCACTGACTCAATGGACATAAGTTTAAACAAGCTCTGAGAGACAGTGAAGGACAGGGAAGCCTGGTGTGCTGCAGTCCATGAGGTCACAAGGAGTTGGATTTGATTTAGCAACAGAACAACAACAATAATGCTGACTGAACAAGAACAATAATGCTCATGTTTGGTATATGTTGTTGTAATGGCACTCCAAAGTGATAACTTGAAGGAATTAACATACATAAAACAAATGCAAATTCAAGATACAAGTTCCTTGGATGTAAAAATCTTCCCCTGGTAATTCAGAAGGTGCTTCAGATCTTGAAGGATCTCTGGGTCATCATTGGGAGGACCAATCACCACTTGGCCAGGCCACAGAATATTCAGACAGTTTGTGTTGATTGGTTGATTCTGGCTGAACAAAAATATGGCTTATTTTCACAGCAGTGTAAAATACCAGCTCCGGCAGGAGGCCCTTGATGATCCAGAGAACAGCTTGGCTCCAGGTTGGAGACCTAGCCTTGTTTGAGGCCCAATCACACTTCCTGCCTTCAGCTTCTGTGAGGTATCTTTGTATCTTTACAATAAATCACCTTCTTGGTTTAGGTTATATGACAGGATACAGCATGGGGGATTTTGCTTTCAGGGGACAAGTGGCAATGGCTGGAGACATTTTTGATCATCACAAACGAGGGAAGGCATACTGCTGACATCTGGTAGGTAGAGATTGGGGATGTTATCAAACTACCTCTGATGTAAAGAACAGCCCTCTCCAAGAAACAGTTTTCCAACCTCAAATTTCAAATTTCTGAGGCTGAGAAATTCATTCTGTGGTCCTAACCCCTTCATTCCAGCCTATGCGCTCTCCTTTAGCATACTGCTATACTTTGAGCCATGATACACAATAGCAAAGCAAAGGTGACCTTCCCTCCTTGCCTCGAGTCAGCTCTGCCTTCCTTGCGGTGGGCCTCCTACCAGGAATCTCCAGGACAGAGCTAAGACCCTCGGGGGAAGACAGACAAGGAAAGAAGAGGGAGATGAGTTTATCCCTGGTACACGTCCAAGACTGACTTTGTATGGGGGGAAAAGATTCCCTTCCCCCACTGAGTAGATTCTGGTCTGTTACTAGTAAGAGTGTTTTCTTTTGGGCAATAGGCTAAACCTATGGGGCATGAAAAAGAGGTTTCACTGGTTTGAGTTGGCTTCTTTTATTGACAAACAAAAGAGCCTGACAGAAATATTGCCATACATGTTAGATATACATTGCATTAGAGTTTTGAGGAAACAGTCGCTCAAAAACCTTGAATGACTTTTTCCTGGTCCCAGGGAAAGTAAGAGCAGGGACCTGGGCAGGGATCCATGATTCTTGCCCCATCAGACCAACCCCCACACCCCTTTCTATCTGGAAGCAACATGGTCACCCTGGCAGCTGCTGAGCCTATGATTCCATCCATGTGAGCTCTCTAATCTGATTCTTCCATTTTTCAGTTATTCACTGTTTTTAATCCAATAATCCCTCTTGATTGAGATCTTATTTTTCCCATCGTATCAAAAAAAAAAGAAAGGAAAAGAAAATATTGACATCATGGCAGATAGAGGATAAGGGAGAGAATTTAGAATGCAATTGCATTTGTGGTGGTGAGAGAAATTATTTTTCACTGCCATTCTACTGCGTCATTATTTTTACGTTGACTCTCTCAAGGCTCACCTGTCTACGCAGTCACTGCCCCCCAGCAGAGAGGTTATAAAGACAGGAGGTGGATGGACCACCTTGTCCTTGTGTGATGCAGATTCAAAGTGAACAGGCCTCAGATACAAATGGAACTCTTCAAAACCCATCTCGCACGCCAAATCCTTATAGAGACTAAAGGAGAAAAAAAAAAAAAAGCCAAGAACATTTGCTGTTATTTTCCATAAAAGGAAAGTAAGTGGCAAGAAAACCAAACCATCTGAATAAGCACAAAGCAAAAGTCAAAACAAAAGTAAGCCAAGTCCGGTGTGAAATGAATGACTCACAAAGGTTTTGAGTCTGCCCTCAGCTATGATGGTTAAAGATAGTAGTTAAGGTAGGAGGAGATATGCTTGGGCACTTCCCCAACTCTCATTTCCTGCAAGCTGGCTTCTGTCTTCTGAGCGCTCCTGAGGTCACCATTATTGCTCTCAGTAGAAAGTTGACCATTTTTTCTTAGAGATCCTCGGGGCTGGCCTGTCTGCTGCTTGAACCATTTTGTTCTCCTGAATCCAGGATCTCCATGTTTCTGCCTCATAACCACTGTCTTCACTGGCTTCTCCTTTTTTTTTGAAGCAGCCCTCCCCCGCCACCTGTGCCATGCCATTGGCCTTGTTGGAGACACTGCAGGACCCCATGCAGGTCACCCAGATGGCTTGGGAGGTGACCCCCACCAGCCGCTCCCTCAGGCTGTTGATGACACAGTTGCTCATTGCTCTGATGGACCTCAAAGAGCTGCACCCATGCCATGCCGGGGCCCTGGCTGGGACGGGCCAAGCATCACTGCCCACATCCCGCCACTGGCGCTGCTACTGCTTTGTGGCTTCTCCTCTTTATTTTCAAATTCCTGGTGTTTCCTGAGGTTGCAAACCCAGTCCTCTTCTCACCTTCCCCATGTCCTCCTTGGGAAGTCTGTCATTCAACTCTGGGCCATTACCATCTCCCCTTTGTGTAAGAACCTGTGATCCCATCTCTGTCCTCCTTCAACTCTGAGCTCTACTCCCCCATGACTTGCAGCCAGGCTCCATTCAGGTGTCACTGTGGCATTTCAGCCTTCTGTGTTTAGAATTCCTTCCTTTCTTCTCTTATCCCCATTTTAACACATTTCTTCATCTTGAGAAGTTGGTACATTAAGGCTGAGTTCAAATGGCACCTACATTAGTTTGTCAGGCTGCTGTGAAACAGTACCATGAACTGGGGATGGTGGTGCTTAAACAACAGAAATCTGTCTCAGTTCTGGAGGACAGAAGTCCAAGATCAAAGAGTTGCAGGGCTTGTTCCTTCTGAGGGTTTTGAGTGAAGGATTTGTTCTAGGTTCTCTCCTCGTCTTATAGATGTGCATCTCATCCTTATGTCTTCACACAGTTTTCCTTCTGGATATATCTGTGTCCAAACCAGCTCTTCTTAGAAGGACACCAGATATACTACATAGGAGCCCACTCTAAAAACTTCATTTTCTCTGCAAAGACTCTATCTCCAAATAAGGTCACATTATGAGGTACTAGGGCTTAGGGCTTGGACATTTGAATTTTGGAGGTACACAATCATCCCTAGGCCTTCTGTGGAGCTTTCTCTGATTCACTTACAAAGAATGAAATACTCCACTTCCTGTGCTCCCATAGTATTTTGTTCATATGACTAGAATATCATATTAAACTTTATTAGGGGTAACTTTTACATTGTGAACTCCCTGAGAACAAGGATCAAAAATTATGAGGAGGCAGTATCATAGTGGTTAATATTATCTTGGCCCATAGTTTGATTTCTGCTTCTACTACTTTCTGGTTATGTGATCTTAGGAAAATTACTTTTCTGAGCCTCTACTTTCTTGGTGGTAAAATGTTTGCAAGCTATATCATAATATCATATCATAAAGACATCATTAATCTATTATAACATAAGAATATTCTGAGAATTAAATGAACTAATACATGGAAAGTTCCCAGTACAGACCCTGGACACAGTAGGCCCTGGATCATGGTTTATGGTGGATAATTGGGCTCTCTGTGTCTTCAGGGACTCTCATGGAGCAGAAAACAACAGAACTCATATATGTTTGCAACAAATCCTCAAGTTCCATATTTTTCCTGTTTAGGGAACATGTTCACTTAAATGTCTTACCATCCTCTCATGCTCAAAGCAAAAACAGAACTCAGCAAGCATTCTCTCCCCTTACCTGCTGAACATTTCGTACTTCCACCAGACCTGGATGCTATCACTGACTCATTCTTTCCTTTCTGAAGGCCCTCCACTGGTTCTGCTCTGCTATTCAACTTCATTATATTTGAGCACTCAGTATCATTGGGTGCTTGATGAGGGTTAGTCTTCATACCCAACAGGATACTATGGAAAACAACACGGACAAAGCTCTTACATTTAGGGAGCTTACATGAGCAGGAAAACTAATAAACCAACATCAAGCACCTAATTAAAAGGCAATGGCTGAATGGAGAAAAAGCCCAGGTGCTTAGAGGAGAACCCAGACTAGCTGAGTAGTCAGAGAGGCCTGTTGGGAGACCTGAGAAGAGAAACAGGGAGGGAGGGAAGGTGGAAAGGAGGTCATCATTTCAGTCATTTAGAAAGCTCACTCTGGTTACTCTGGGGGCACAGATGGGGCAAGGCTTGCAGTAGGAAGATTCATAGTCTATCACCCTCCATGTGGATCGTGAGTCCCCCTACTGACCGTGCCAAGTGTACACTCTCCAGACTCATTTCTATCAGCCTATGCCGGAGGGTCAAGAGTTCCAAAAGTTTGGAAAACATCTCCAGGAGCAGCATTTGGGAATCTTGGCCTTGGTTCTGTCCTTGGTCTGCTGCAGATTTGAGTGCAAGCAGGCCTGTCTCCCCCACAAGAAAGGGATCACCCATCACTTTAGTTGAAAATAGCTGAAAGAAAACAGAATACTTTAAAAAATACAAAATAAAGAAAGAAATCTGAACATATTAAGAAAAATATGTCAGCAGCACAGACTCTGGATCCAGAGTTCCTAGGCTTGAGTCCTAGCTCTGGCACTTACAAGCTACGAGATTTAGGGCAATTCACTCAATTTAACTGTCTCTCAGTTTCATCATCTATAAAGTGGCAGTAAGGATAATAACAGCACCTAACAGGAACTAATAAATCATAACTGTATCATAGGGTTGGTTGAGAGGGTTGAGTTAAATATATACAAAAGCGCTTGGTACATAGCATTTGCTAATATCATTATTATGAATGTTTTAAGCCAAAATAAAGAGAGAAATGACACAGATGACCTAAATAGAAGCCTCTGATACATTTCAAGTATTTTAGTGACCAATGATAATAATGATAATTTCTTATAAACTCTAATTGAAGTTTCAAAATTTTCAAGTATTTTCATGTATATTAACTCATTTTTATTTTCACAAGATCCCCATGACTTGGGAATCACAGATACTATTATGTCCATTTTATCAGTTAAGGATCTGAAGCAACACTGAAATTTTCTAAGGTCAGACAACAGTATCAAGAATAAATTTAGTTTCCCTAGTTCCACGCTGTAGTTTTAGAGTATACCAAGCTGCATCTTCAGTGCTCCTCTGCTCAACTCACCCAAGCCCTGGGTGATTTGTGAAGTTACTACATTGTTCTTTAACATCCTCCTGCCTTGGTCACCGCCTCTGCTCTGACATTTTTGCTAGCTTTTTATATACCACTTCCAGCAAGCACCAAGTCTGGGGACCACCTCTAGTCTGTCTTTCCTGGTTTGGCTTCCCAAGAGTAGATAGACTTATCTACCAAAGGCCTTGCCTACTCAAGGATGCAATTTCTAGACACCTGAAGTCTTCCAAAGTGATGAAGAGATTTATTAATTTCCTGATTGTCTTCTGCGTGCAAGACCTGCCCCATTTTCTGTCCCAGGACAAAAGATTAATCTGAGTATTTATCATTTCTAAGTCCTAATTTGAACATATTTAAAAAGAAAATAATTTAAACTGTATGGCAAATTCTCTGGTGGTCCAGTGGGTAGGACTCGGTGCTTTCACTACTGAGGACCTGGGTAGAATCCCTGGTTGGGGAACTAAGATTCTGAAAGCCATGCAGTGTGACAATCCATCAATCAATAAAAAATAAAACTGTGTGGCATCAATGAGAGATTAAATAGGTAGCCCAGATATTCACTACAATTTTTAAGAGAAGTAAAAATACATTTTAAAAATCTGGTATCATAGTTGCCACTGTTTTAGTCATTAAATCGTGTCCAACTCTTTGCAACCCCATGGACTGTAGTGCATCAGGCTCCCCTCTCCATGGGATTTCCCAGGCAAGAATACTGAAATGGGTTGCCATTTCCTTCTCAGGGGATCTTCCCGATCCAGGGATCAAACCTGGGTCTCCTGCATTGGCAGGCAGATTCTTTGCTATTGAGCCACCAGGAAAACCCTGGTACCATAATACAGTGTGAAAATAATCCTCAAAAAATGGTAGTGGCTACATGGGTGATAATGTGGGGAAAAACTCTGTTTTGAGCCATATCTTACATCACATATTCACTTATACACACATATACACATGCACACACACTCCAGGTGGAATACTAAAAGGAGTTAAATATTTTTGAAATAAAATAAAAACCTTAAGAAGTTAGAAGTTAGAATAAAGGAAGACAAATATGAAACATCTGGAGGAAGTTTGGCTTTCTGAATTTAGGATAGAAGAAATCACAAAGGAAATGATAAACAGATTTAACTATATGAAAATAAGTGTTAAAAATTTAAAAGACAAATTGGGGAAAATAGTTGCAGAAAATATTATGGACAAACAGTTAAAGTTTTTTTAAGAAGAGCTCATGTAAGTGGATAGGAATGATATTAGGATTCCAAGAGAACTATAAACTAAGGAGAGGAACAGAACATTCATAAAAAAATACAGCTAGTAACATGACATTTGGAAGAATATTTAATCTCAACAGATAGCAAGGAAAGAAAATTAACAGTGTAATGCCACCTTTATATATCATATGCATATATTAGCACAGACATTATATACTTACACCTAACACTGCAGAGTATTGCAGAACTGGTACCCTTAGACACTATCAGTGGTATTACAGTTTGGCACGACTTTTCTGGAAAGTGATCTGCCAACATGTATCCAAAGACTTAAATTTTGTTTCAGTAAATCCAATTCCAAGAAGCTATCCAAAGGAATTGATTCAAAATATGGTAAAATCTGTGAGCATAGAGATGTATCTTATGAATTTTTAATAATAATAAAACATTGTAAATAACTTGAATGCCCATTGATAGGGAAATAGTTGGATAAATTATCATTCACCACTTAAAGGGATTTTGTGGTCATAAAGATTAAGTGTGAAGACTATTAGCAACATGGAAGAATATATAATATGATGCAACTGAGAAAAACAGGAGATGGTATATGAAGGATATGATTAGAAAGAACTATGTAAAATAGGTATATAAAGAATACTTGAATTCAGGAAAAAATGATTACAAATGCATTTGAGTGGTTATATTTAAGGTAATTTTCTGTTTTCCTGTTTGGCTAAAACTCTGAATTCTATTTTTTGATCAACTTTAATTTAAAAGAAAATAAACTTTTGTTTGAACTGGAGATGATAGGTGATTGAGATAGGCCTGGGGAACAGATATTTTTGGCAGCTGAAGCCTTGAAATTTCCTTTATCTTATAGCAAGTACCCACACAGAGTAAGGTCAGATTAGAAACCCAGGTCTCCTGCATTGCAGGTGGATTCTTTACCAACTGAGCCGTCGGGGAAGCCCAAGTTCATGGCAGGGCCGAGCTTAGTCCTGATCACTGACTCCTGCTCTCTCTCCTCTACCAGATTTTAGCTCAGGACAAAACAGTACATTTTAACAAGAGTCTTAGAAAGAAGAAAACTTAATTAAAAAATATATATTATTAAACTATAACCAACCAGAAAATACTTTCCCCCTAGCTGTGTACATTTCCCTTTAAATGATAACTGTAGCAGCACCCCGATAAACTGGAAACGTTGACCAAAATGAACAAAAAAACCCATAAAAATGTTGGCAAGCCCTCGGACTATCTCTGGCCAAACAGGAGGGAAATAGAGCCAAACAAAAACAAAGCTAAGTAGTAACATCTGGGAGGAAACAATCTCTTTGCCAAGGACCCACCTAACCCCTTCAGAGAACCTACATCTTTCTGGAGCTGTGCACTGTACCAGGACTCGGGCTTGGCTGGGGTGAGCCACACATCCAGGGCCAGCTGCAGCACACGTCTCTCCAGCAAGGTGAAGGCAATGGCTGATGTGGGCCTGCAAGTGTGGCGGGCCTCCCTGAGGAGGTGCTCGAGGGCCCTGGGGATACAGGAAGCCAGGCCCAAGGAAGGGTGGAACTCCAGCAGATAAATGTTTTTCAAAGCTGAGCTTAATGAAAAGAAACAATTAATGACAATTTTACATGATGAAGAACTTAATCTGTTTCCAGATCTTATATTTTTCAAGACCAATAAAACAGTCTTACAATCCACGGCATTATAAAAAACTGGAAGCTCAACAGGGCCTTAGAGGCTGTCCAGGGAGCCCAACAGATCACACAACATGCTTTTTGCTTTAATATGAACTTTTTTAAAGACATAGTTTACTCTAAAATCCAGTAAGAATAAGATTCATTGGACATCACATCATTATGCTGTATACCTTAAATTTATATATGTGTGCATGCTAAGCTGCTTCAGTTGTGTTGGACTCTTAGCGACCCTATGGACTGTAGCCCACCATGGGATTCTCCAGGCAAGAATACTGGAGTGAATTGCCATGCCTTCCTCCAGGGGATCTTCCCAACTCAGGGATTGAACATGCCTCTCTTATGTCTCCTGCATTGGCAAGCAGGTTCTTTACCACAAGTGCCATCTGGCAAGCTCAAATTTATACAGTGCTGTATGTCAATTGTATCTCAACGAAATAGAAAAAAAAAATCTAAAATTGTATATGTAAAACCTGTCAACATTTCATTAGCCAAATATTTGAGAACAAGATAACTTCAAAGTGTCTAAATATTAAACAAATACCTTCCATGACTATTTCTATTTTTCACCTGATTCTTGATCCCTTTTTCTTCCCAAAATGATAATGAAGATGGTTTTTGAGTTCTGTATACAAGTATTGGAATCATTCATGCTTGCCATAAAAATGTTATATTGTATAAATGAATGAGGTCAGAAACAATAAAACACTTGTCTGTGGGTTATCCCTTTGGAAATAAAGGGTATAGTATCAGTCAAGTCAAGGGCCTTTCTATACCTACATGGAACACAAGCTCCAAACCAGCTTGGAGCCTGTCACCAGCTTCTTGGTTCCTCTGTACCCTCAAAGCCTGGGAAGGCACTGTAAGGGTGAATCACACTGCATATCAAGGAGGTGACCTTATGTACTCTCTCCAGGTGATCTCAGGAAATGCAATCTACTACTTAAGGCGGTGGGGTGGGGGGTCACAAGATGAGTCTGCTGAAACCTTTCTGCTGACACTTGCTAGAAAAAAGAAATTCCTTTTTAAAAATTTTAAGCACATCCATGTTTCATATATGTTGACCTGTATGGCACCTCTAACAAATCCTTTGACAGCATTTTAAGAGCAACTGGGTTTTTTAGGACTTCTCATGGGAATGAAGATTCTGCATCCAGGGTCATAAGTGTAAATTCTGGCCTCCTATTCCTTATTTGCAAAGTGAATCGAGTTCACAAAGGAGTCCCTCTTCTATGACTCTTATATTTACTTCTCTCATCCCCAAATACTTGAGAGGTGCTTTGTAGAATAGCAGTTGACTTAACAACATACCCTTTAATTATCCAGAAATTAAATGTAAAATGTCTAAAGACAATACCAACTTACCAGCTATTGTTGATGGAAATGAGTTGTTTGCAAATGATGTTAAGGGGAAGTCCAAATGTATTGCTAGCATCTGGATGGCCTTTTTGCCAAAGCCTCTGGACATACTCACGCTGACACTCTATCTAGAAATGTCACATAAAAGTTAAAATTAGAAAAGTTAGACTTTCCCATGGATGTGAGTTATGAGCCTTGGCGTGAGAAGAACAGATCATCAGCCCTTTGCGTATCTTCATTATTTGACTAATTTTCGCCCAGACATGAGTTTTAGGGATTCCCTCACACAGAGGCATGGTTGTTTTTTAGTCTCAGGCAAGGATCAGCCAGGAAAAGCAAAGGCAACCAGCTTTAGGCAATCTTAAGAAGCACAAAAAAACTTCTTTCTGTAAAATAATTGACTACAAGCAAAAAATTCTAAGCAGGCCTAAGGAACTGTATTAACTTTTCCCTGGAAGTCATAGACTGTGACCATTTCCTATAGTGTTATAGAAATAGTTGCAACCTTTTAAAAAATAAATATAACTTTACACATTTAATGTCTTACAAAAGGGTAGGCTTAGTCCTTTCACTATAGATGAACTGTGATTGAGTGAAAATAGGTTGCCAATTCTTTGTGGATCATTAAATGTAATTAGGATTGGAAACCTCCCTTTAAGACTGTAGTTATGCTTGAAATTCAACAATGCAAATAAGCTTACAAAGAAACATTGTGTACATGCTGTCCTAGAAAACCCAGATTCTGAATCGGTACTGAAAGGAAAATACAGTTTTCAGTTTTGACCTGTGTTTTCCATCCCCTTCCCACATGGAATCTTAAAAAACCCAAATATACTCACATGCTGGTTGAGGATGCCCCTCACTAGCTGCAGGTGAAGCCTCAGGCAGGTGCATTCCTCTCGGTAGGCCTTAATGAAGTAAGGATGACTGAAGTCAAACCTTGGGCACCTGTGCATGATGTCTGTGATCACTTGTGCTAAGGCAAACCTCTCCTCTGGGTCCAATGCATGCTGGTAGGCTTCAAAGTAACTGTCAAGAAGCTGTAAATAAGGTTTATAGTCAGGGGACAGGGCCCACAAAGGAAGAGAGGTGAGCTCCCAACCATTTCCATGCTTTGGAAAGCCACCCCCCCCCCCCGCCCCCATCAATAGGAGAGACAGCCCTGCACCTCTGGGTACCAGCCCTGGGTGGGCAGCCGCAGCACCAGTGCAGCACAGACCAAGTTAGGGAGGGTGAGGGAGAAAGCACTCATCGCACCTCTGTCCCCTCCTCCTCTGCTCTCTACACATAAAAGGGGAGTGATATCATGAATAATACAACATCTAACAATTACAAGTTCCAATGAGACAGTGCATTCAGTGTCACTTCATCAAATACGTTTATCTTCAACACCTTTTCCCACAGGCCCACTTTCCTCCCCCTATTTTATTCTATTACCAAAGGTAGGCAGGTAGCCTCCACCCCTCTTCTACATCATCAGCCCCATTTATGACACCTTCTCTTCAATAGCTTGCCTATTTAAGTTTCACATGTGTAGAAATGGTGGGGGAGGGGTTAGAATGGCAAGTGGAAGATGCAAGTCCCCTCTAAACATAAAGGTATTTATTCCAGATCACACTCCACTGCTGCTGCTGCTGCTAAGTTGCTTCAGTTGTGTCCGACTCTGTGCGACCCCATTGACTGCAGCCCACCAGGCTTCCCCGTCCCTGGGATTCTCCAGGCAAGAACACTAGAGTGGGTTGCCATTTCCTTCTCCACACACTCCACTAGGAAGGGCCTATGTGCAGAACTCTCAAGAGCATCCGGGAAGTTTCTGTTTTACTAGAGTTCACAAGTCTTTTCTAAAAACTGAAGGCTTCCCCACACTAACTATTGAAGAAACTCAGAAAGATATGCTCTTTATTTTGTTTTTACATTTGTTTATGAAATTAGGGAATTTCTGTTCTGCGTGTAAACTTTGTGTATAATTAGTCATGGTGCTAATCAGAAAAAGCTCTTCAGAGTTCACTGGACTGGAATCCCAAACAGTTACCTAAGAGCTGATATGCAAGTAGTTCTAAACAATGTAGTTACTCTTTTTGGGTTCTTTTTAAAACTTTCATAGGCCTTAGACACACTTACTTTTGGAGACCCCTTCCCATACTGTCAGGCGAGTGTATGCTCCTCGGTTTTTGTCTCGTCACTACAAAGTTTTGGAGTGACAGACATTAAAGCCCCCCTCGGCGTGTCACAGCTCCCGGGTCTCGGACAGACTAAACACTGAGTCTATATCACCTGATGGACAAAATCAACTCTGGCTGAAAGCTTCTGAACTTCTGCTCCCACCAGTCTCACAATGCAATGGATTCCTTTCCTCTGCCCAAATAATCCAACATCATCCCTAGAGTGTCAGCTCAACATGCCCCTCCTCAGTCTTCTCTGACCCAGTCCTCTAATGCCGGCTTCATGCTCCCGAAAGGCCTCAGCTCCTAGGGTGGCTGTAGCACAAGGACACAGGTGTGCCCCGTGAGTTCATGTAGTTGACAGCAAGGAGTGGATTGTTGAGTCTGCAATTTTTGCCAACCTGATAGCCAAGCACACTCTTTTTGTTTCCTTGGGTAGTGGTCTTCCTAGTGGTTTGAGGCCTGGGAGCCAGCCCACTTCTTAACAAACTAAGGAATTTCCTAAAAGGAGATAAAGAGCACCTTTCATTGTGTGGAGTCCATAGCTAAGAATGAAAGACCAGAAAGAACTGAGAGGGGGTAAGCACTGCTTGAATATAGGTGGCAACAGCTCAGGAGGACGTAAAGGAACCCAAGTGGTAGGAAAAGCCAGGAGTGTCTCCATCTTGCAATAATAACTCCTGAGGCTCCTAAGAAGGGAAACACTTGAGAATCAATAGAAGCCTAGGAATCAAATACTGCCTTAGCAATAGATGTCCAGTGTCTGAAGGCTATTCAATGCTAAGGCTCAAGGAGGGAGAGCCTGGGGCACTTTATTTAGCATCCAGTTTTGCACTTTGGGAAACACTGTCCACGGGAACTTGGGTCAACCTTAGAATACAAAGGATAACACCAGAAGAAGCTTAAAAGCTTAGGACACAGAGTGTGCTCCACAAGTTAAAAACTCACACACCTCAGAGTGTGAAATGAAGAAAGGTGCAGATCCCTTGTCTTTAAGTGAGCCTCAGGGAAAATGAAGCCAGCAGAGTGATCTAAATGACCTTATTCCAACCACAGAGCTCTCTAGAGTAGCATTCAGTTATTAAATAGCAGAAGACAAAGCAGGAACAAAGGAGTGATGGGGTTAAGAAGGCTGTCACTCAATATCCTAGTGGAAGATTAGGAAAGAAACAGTAACTTCCCTAAATCATTCTCAATGAATCTAAACCTTTTTGGCTGGACCAGGGCAATCCCAGGAGCTGGTTTATAGAATTTGTACTGCTGTGACCTGTTTTTGTACAATGAGCCCTATTGTTTGGTTATTTGGCAGGGGAAGATTGGGAGGGTTCTTGCTAGTGATTCTCATCTGGTGATACCAGGTTGCAGAGGTAGGTGCTAAATTGCCATCATCACTTTGTTGTTGGTAGAATTACCAGGTTTAACAAATAAAAATACAGGTCATCTAATTAAATTTGAATTGCCGATAAACAACCAATACTTTTTTTAGTTAATATTGTCGTATTTTACCTGGCACCCCCAGTTGTTGAGAAGGAAAATGTGGCTTTTTAAATGCACAAGCCTTTTTTCAAGCTTTGCCCTCCACCTTGAAAAGCTCTCAGATGGCCCTTTGCATAATTTTATTATGAATTCTTTCTCATCAGGGGTAGGGCCGTGATCTTTACACCTCACAGGTTCTATTTATTATCTGTTTGCTAACTGGCTCATTTCCATTTGAACTCTGGACTGGCATTTGTCTAAGAAGTCTTCCTAGCCTGTCAAATGTCACCTGTGTATGTCAAGGGCCAACTTGCAGGCAAAATAATGTGTGGTGCACATTGATGGTAGGCATCAAATATTGGAGAAAATAGAAAAGAGCCTGAATGAATAACGTCAAACCATACTGTGTTTATAGACTTTTTTTTAAACCTAAGCCTCTTTTTATTTCTTGGATTTAAAAAATCTTTTAAAGACAGTACTTTAGGTCAAATGAAAGTGTAAAAGAGAAAATCAGTGTCAGACACATCTTGTCACAGAATTTTCTGCCCCCCACCCCCAACCCCCGCCGCCTTTTTTTTTTACTGCTCTAAACACTAATTCAAATTATCCTGAAAATGTGTCCTCTGGTGGCTGTGGAGAGAATTAGCAGTTGGTATAAATGTCACTTAGGAACTGGCACAGCTGATGCCTGGCTTTTGAGTCTCTTAATCCACCTAAAATCATACCAGCTCTATTTTTATGAGCAGTTTATATAAATATGGCTACTTGAAGGATTTAAGGCAACCTAATGTGTTTGAGCAATTTTTAACTTTAGCGATTCTAATATATTTAACAATCAAAAAAAGCTGAAGACACTTAGCAGTAGAATCAGTACTGGGGGAAATCAATTGTATTCTAGGTAAAAGTCTGGTTTATCAATTAAAAATAGGCTCTTTTGACAATTTCTGGAATTCCAGAAATTGATTTGGAAGGCTACATTTTCCAGTTTTTGGCACAGATAAGTCAGTTTCTACAGGGAACTTATTTTCAGGGTAGAAAGGAGGGAGATTATTTTCAATGGTTGTTTTAAGTTCAAATATTTTCATGTACCATAGAAGAAACTAGTAGACAGCCCTGGTAACTTAGCACAGAATGAACACTAGGCCAAAGTGAGGAGAAATTGGTTTGTTTATTTATTACTCTCTGCCTTCTGTTCTTCTCTACCATCAAGTCCTCTATAGGAAGCCTAGAAGAACTAAAAACAGAGGTGGGGAGAGCACAGAAAAGGGGTACTGCCTACAACTCATGTCTGGCCCAATAAACATGTCAAGTTTGAGGATTTTGTATTACTTACATTTAATGCAGCCTCTCCAGATTCTATACTATGAGGCTAAATCTCCCATTTACTCAGTAGATCACAGTAAGTTTCTAATTGACAGATCAAGTGTCCAGATGCACACTCTAGAGGTCAGTTGTCTTTGGAAAGAGGAACAATTTTCAAAGCTACAGCTTGCACCCTGTAAGTCTAGCCAGTTGTTTTCCAAAATTGGATGATCTACATCTCCATGAGTAACAGACCAGAGAGTAGATGAAATGGTAAAATCCTCTACTAGAAAAACAATGAAAGAAAACATTTCCACGTCCACATCCTCTTACCACATTACAGTGTACTGTAACCTGGTTCCCATCTCTGTTACTCTTTTGAGAGACTCCTACAAAGCTAACAATGACTGCGTGATGGTTAACCCCACTGTCTGGTTTTTAGGACTCACATTCTTTGATGTTTCAACTGTTCTCCACACAGGTAATAATCCTCTCTTAATTAAGACTCTTTTCTTTCTGTGGGATTTCCTAATGTTATCCTTTTCTTTTTGTTGCAGTCTCTCTGGCTACTCCTTGTTCTTCTCATGGATTCTTGTCCCATGACCTTCCCCTTAAATGTAAGTGTTCTCAGGGACCCATTTCAGACATCTCTTTTACTACTCATTTTGATACATTACTATGGTATGACTTCCACATTTATACCTCAGCTCATACCTGCTCCTGAACTTCAAACCTACAGCTCCCGTAAAACATTCATGCATGCATGCTAAGTTGCTTTAGTCGTGTCCAACTCTGCGACCCTATGGGCTGTAGCCTGCCAGGCTCCTCTGTCCATGAGATTCTCTAGGCAAGAATACTGGAGTGGGTTGCCATGCCCTCCTCCAGGGGATCTTCTCAATTCAGGGATCGAACCTATGTCTCTTAGGTCTCCTGCATTAGCAGGCAGATTCTTTACCACTAGTGCCACCTGGGAAGACATTCACACCTGGGTTTTAGCAAACTCTCCTCACACGCCTTGTGTCCTAGACTCAAAAAAACCTTCCCCTCTAAAGAGGCCCCTCTTCTTTCATTCTGTTTCAGTTAACAGCCTCCTCTCTGAGCTTGAGGAAGTCATTTTAATTCCACCCTCATTCTCTCATGCCAACATCTAGTCTTCAAATCCCGTCATTTCCATTTCTGGAAATCCTTGCCCAACTGCTCTCACCCACCCACGTGTGGCCTACCCTTCTAAAGACCATAATAAGGTCTGTTGGTTTGTCTGCATTTAGCAAAGTGAGGCCTGTCCCTGACAGCACAATGAACACGAATGGAATCATCACGCCTTCTCACTAAAAGCATACATGTCATAAAAGGGCCTAAATTATACAGCCCTCTAACAAATTTCCCTTAAGCTGAAGCCATATCCTTCACATTTCACTTTTTTGTAACAAAGAAGCACAGTAAAGAACATAAAATTGATTATATACCTACAACTAGCTAAGATTTTTAAAATACTTATTCACTTCATTGGGAGTTGCCCTACAAGACCCACGGGGTTTAAAAATATATATTGGGTTTTATAAGAATGTTTTTAAAAGGTGTTTTGTTTTCTAGGCAAAAATACCTGGCGCTTGCTTTCTAGAAGAGCTGCTTCCCAAGTCCACATGTCATACAGCACAGCAAATCTGTCCACACCTGCATGGGTCCATCCCCAGTCCTGGTCAATATGTGACTTGCTGCCCTCTTTGTGACCTGGGAGAGAAAAGGATGAAAATGATTAGAGACAGGCCTCACTACAGAGGTATTCCTAGTAGAAATGGATCCCTCAGATTGTCAGCTCCCCCTCAGGAATGAAAACACTGAAGGGGTAACTGGGATTCCTAATAATCGGCTAAAGAGACATGGGCAAGACTAGGTAGGCCTTAAGTTCATACTTGCTGACTTCTAGATCAACAGAGGTTTTTGCTTTTACTTTCAGTTTTAAAAGACTAATTTTAGAAATATAAACCAAAATTCAGTTAACATGAAAGATTTACTAAAATCTCCTCAAACCTGTAATTTAAAAGCAAAACATACATTTCTTCTCTGTAAAAACAGGTTCCTGGTGGTTTAACAACAAACCTAGTTTAAACTGCTATATCAAGTTGATGCCAACCATGTCAAAAAATTTCAGGGAAATTTCTAAGGTATTTCTTAGTTGTGCTAATTACTAACTTAAATCAGTAAGGGTAACCATTGCCATTATTTAGCTAAAATGTTTTCCCACTATAGAACTGTAAGTTTTCATTGACAGCATTATTATTGCTTAACATTTTAAGCAGTCTGTTTCAGAATAAAATATTAAGAAGTAAGGGATTTTCAGGTTTAGTGATTATCAAGTATATGGTGGGTATTGAACAACAGAAAGCCATTGGTCAGGAATTTCTCCAGCAGCAGTTGGGAAATCATTTCACAATTAATGACCGTATACTCACTAGTTCAGTGAGACATACTCATGTGACTAAGTATTTCAGTCAAAGTAAGTTCCTAGCAGCTAAACACAGTCACATCATATTATAAATTAACATCAGCGAAAATGATGCGTTGGTATGTAGGATCACCAGTAAAGATAAAAGCTAAAAGTTGAAATTAGGTGCCCTGGAATGTTGGATGTCATCACTGCATCCCATGATTCAGATCCCAACTGGTCTGTGGCAAAGGGAGAACAAAGAATTCAATCTAATACTAAATTAATTCTGTCTGGGATCTGAAAGGTTAATTGTCAAACAGTCTTAGAGCAGCATTTTATAACAATATGAACATGAATTATCCTTAATTAAAGTCTACATATATTACAAAACAGCACAATCTCTTGCTAAATTTTCCTCTAGGTATTGCAATTCATCTAGAAACTCTAATTTCTTTCCAAATAGAATACTAATGCCATATATTATTCCAACAGGAATATTCTTACCTCTTTGATTCCTAAAACTGGATAAATTTGAGTGACGCCAAAAGAAAGACAGAATACAGATTATGGGTTATTTGATTACCCTGACTAATGATTTCTCCCTCTGGGGCTTGTCTGACATTTTCCTAGACAGGTCTTGCATCCTGGTGGTTTTTTGTTAGGAACTCAGAAATATCTCTGCTTCTAACTGCAGTTTCCCCAAGGTCAATTATTTCTTTTTTTTGTCACTTAGGAAAAAAAGTCATTAATTTCACTTGCTTACTTTGCTTCCCTCAGGGCCCTGCACCTAGTACGTAATGCAGAAATGCTACTGGGCAACAAGTAGAGTCTAAACAACAATAAGAACTATAACCAAGTTACAGTTTCCAACAAATGGGGGACTTAAGCTGGAAACAAAACTTTATCTTTTCTAGAGTGGTGTGTGTTGGGGAGGTATAAATGCTTGTTGGATTTTCCAGTACTATTATACGTGTGTTATAGTTTAAGGTGGGAGGTGTTATAGAGCCCTTGATGGTTTTTGTCTGTTTGGATACGTAGATTTTTGTCTGGTTGATTTTTAAAAATCTGACTTCTGACCTTTTTCTCTCTCAATGTAATGGCTGGCCACAAGCAGCAGTTCTGTCTCTAGGTCCTTCATATCACTCAAGGCTTCATCATACATGACATACACTCCTTGCTGGTCCTGGGTGTGGATGTAACCAGCATCCATGCTGTAGTAATCATCCTGGTTCTCCACTTCTGAGAACTCCATGAATTGGATGCTCTGGACCTGGGAAAGAAAGCCAAGGCTGGAAGTTACCAGAACAGGGAGAGAAATATTTTGCCAGCTCAAATGGACAAAATGGTAGGTTTCTGTTCCCACACAGTGGGCTGTCAGCATGGAGCTGTAGACACGATGAATGCATAAAGAGCTAGCTATATGTAGGGGAAAAGACAACAACAAATGTCAGGGAAGAGTAGTTCCTAAGATGGAGAGATTAACCAGTTGATTAAATTTTATAATTAATTCAGGATTATCTGGGAAAAGGTAGACAATAGAGCCAAGGGATAAGGGTGGTCTCTGAAGCCAGAGTGCCTGTGTTTAGGTCCTAGGGCTTCCCAGGTGGTGCTAGAGGTAAAAGAACCCACCTGCCATTTCAGGAGGTGTAAGAGATGTGGGTTTGATTCCTGGGTTGGGGAGATCCTCTGGAGGAAGGCGTGGCAATCCACTCCAGTATTCTTCACCCCACCCCAGATTTCAAACTATATTAGAAAGCTATAGTAATCAAAACAGTATGACATTGTCACAAAAAAATTGGATAAATGAAACAGAATATAGAGCCAAGAAATAAACCAACACATATATGGCCAATTAATTTACCACAAAAGAGGCATTCATATACAATGAGATAAGGACAATCTCTTTAGTTCTTTTTTCCTTACTGGGAAAAATGAACAGCCACATGCAAAAGTGTTAAACTGGACCATTAGTTTACATTATTTATTAAAAACTTACTCATAATAGATTAAAGACCTAAATGTAAGACTAGAAATCATAAAGTTCTAATAAAAAAACATATGTGGTAAACTCCTTGTTATCACACTTGGCGATATTTTTATATCTGACTCCAATAATAATGGCAACAAAACAAATACGTGATTAAAAAATTTTTTTAATGAAGAATGTGAATTCAGTGAAAAGAACATTTTTTTTTTGACAAGAAATACAATTTATTATTTGCTTGCTTCTCTGAGGGCTCAACACATGGCATAAGGTACCATGCGATACCCAGATTAAAAGCATGGCTTTGGTGGTTGGGGCTTTAAGTAAGAATAGAAAATTCATCTTCATCATCATGTATGCATGCATGCTCAGTCATGTGCGACTGTTAGCAACCCCGTGGACTGTAGCCCACTAGGCTCCTCTGTCCATGGGATTCTCCAGGCAAGAATACTCGAGTGGGTTGCCATTCCCATCCATGGCCACTCCAGTATTCTTGCTTGGAGAATCCCATGGACAGAGGAGCCTGGCAGGCTACAGCATTTAGGGTCACAAGATTCTGACATGACTGAAGCAACTAAGCATGCATGCACTCTGCCAGGACCTCACTTTAAGCAAGTCACTTAGACTTTAGACTCCATTTCTTCATCTATCACACGGGGACAGTGGAGACACTACAAGGTTTGTTGCATATGATACCATATGTGTATGTATGGCCTCACATGTATACGAGGCCCTTGAGATCTATAATCAACTATTTCTCTTAATCTTATAAATACTTCTAAAATGTATTAACACAGTCTCATGACTTGGTGTCCTCTCAAAATTCACGTCCACTTGAAACTTGTGAATGTGGCCTTATTTGGAAATAGGTTTTACAGATGTACACAAGGTAAGATGGGGTCATACTGGATTAAGGTGAGTCTCAATCCAATGACTGGTGTTCTTGTAAAAAGAGGAAATTTGGAAACATACACATAGGAGAGAAGGCCACTTGGAGGCAGAGGCAGAGACTGGAATAATGCGTCTATAAGCCAAGGAACACCAAGGATTGCTGGCAACTATCAGAAGTCAGAGAGGTAACGAGGATTTTCCCCTGGGGCCTTCAAAGACAGCATGATCCTGCTGACACCTTGATTTTTGGACTGTTTTCAGAATCTAAGAGAATAAATTTCTCTCCCAGCTGTTGTGAGCCACTCACTTTGTGGTACTTTGTTATGGCAACCGTAGGAAACTAACACAAGTTTCCAGTAGTCCAATCATAATTTTATTTTTAGATGACCAAGGGCCTATCGCTTCCTGGGAATCATTATTCTCATAACAACTCTCATAATTTCAAACTCCTCTACCCTGTTCCTCACTCCCAATGTCCAGCCTCCCTCAGTCTCAGCTGATGCCCCTCCACTTCTCCATTCACACACAAACCCACCACACTTGCCCCTCTTCTATTGCTCCCTCTGCATGGTAGGGGCCCATTACACTCCCCTTCCCGAAGGTCATTCCTGCCTGCTCTGCAGCATCTCTTCTCCTTGGACAGCCAACTCATCTCAACCAGAGATTTCCCAGCTGACACTGCTACATGCCCCTGGCCCTCTTATCTTAAAACATCCTCACACCCTTCCCCAGGTTCCACCTTATGTCCCTCCTTCTCACAGTCCAACCCCTCCTATAACATCATCTGTCTCCTTCTCCTCACCTCCTACTTCTCACCCATTCCCATCTAGCTCCTGTCTCCATCAAGCCACCTGAACCACTTTTACAAAGACCAACAAGGACCATCCAGCAGACTTTCTATAGTTATCTTTATGTAATCTCTCAGGAAGATTTGACATGGTTTAGCATTCCCTGCTTACTGACCCACTTTCTGTGCTGGCTTTCTGGGATTCCACATTTTCCTTGCTATCACCAATTTTTCAGCCACTTCTTTATCAGGTCATCAAATAGTGGCCCACACTCAAGCTCCTAGGACTTCCATCTTTTCTTCCAATAGTCCTTCACCTGAAGACTGTACACTTTCACAGCTGAGATAACCATCTTTAGACCATTTGCTCCCCAGTTTATATCTCCAATCCAGACCTCCTAGAATTCCAGACCCACATATACAATTATCTATTTAGCATCTGTTCCTGGGCATCTCAAAAGCCCCTCAAATTTAACATGATCAAATCATGTGCTCGCCCCCACAAACCTAGGCCGCCTCCAGTTTCCCCATTTAGTAAATAACACCACCACCCATCTACTTCCTCTAGCATGAATCATTCCACATGTCTCTTTCTATCTCACCCTACATGTCCAATCTATCACTAAGTCCTGTTGAATTTACTTCCTATGTCTCAAATCCATCCAATTGCATCTCCACCACCCACCACCCTAATCCAAGCTGTCACTATCTGGCACTAGAACTAGTCTAGCAGCTTCTAAACAGGTTTAGTCTGTTAAATGGTCTGTCCACTTTCCTTCTGGCATGGGCTTATTCTCCCCTCCATTTTATTCACTACTAGCAGAGGATCTTTTAGAAATGGAGCTTAGATTATGTTATCCATTCTCCCCTTTAACATCTAAAGCCAAAAAAAAAAAAAAAAGCCAAAAAAATCCCAAAAAACCCCACATCTAAAGCCTCTAAAAGCTTCCCATTGCTCATAGTACAAAACAAAACTCCATAAAAGGACCTACATGGTCTGCTCCCTGCCTATCTCTTTCCAGTGGTTTTGAACCAAATGTGATTCTGCCCTCAGAGGACATTTGGCCATGTCTGGAGACTTTTTGGTTACTATAACTTGGGGGAGATGCTATTGGCATCTAGTGGGTAGGGGCCAGGGATGCTTCCAAATGTTCCACAGTGCACAAGACAGTCTCTCACAGTAAAGAATTATCAGGCCCAAAATGTCAATAGTGCCAACGTTGAGAAACCTTGGGTTACTTTCGTTTTATACCACTTTCCACCTGGATTACTGTGTCCCAGCCATTCATGTATTCTTTTGATTTCCTCTGGGTACCATGCTTCTCTGGCCACAGGTCCTTTGCACAGACTATATATCCTTTCTTTGTGGAATTACTAGACATTTGTTGTTCACTTGCTCAGTTGTGTCCAACTCTTTGTGACCCTATGGACTGCAGCAGACCAGGCTTCCCTGTCCTTCACTATCTCCCGGAGTTTGCTCAAACTCATGTCCATTGAGTTGGTGATGCCATCCAACCATCTTAGCCTCTGTCATCCCCTTCTCCTCCTGTCTTCAGTCTTTCTCAGCATCAGGGTCTTTTCCATGAGTCAGTTTTTCACATCAGATGGCCAAAGTATTGGACTTCAGCTTTAGCATCAGTCCTTCCAATGAATATTCAGGACTGATTTCCTTTAGGATTGACTACCTTGATCTCCTTGCTATCCAAGGGACTCTCAAGAGTCTTCTCCAGCACCACAATTTGAAGACGTCGATTCTTCCACACTCAGGCTTTTCTATTGTCCAGATCTCACATCCATACGCTACTGGAAAACCATAGCTTTGACTATACGGAACTTTGTAGGCAAAGTAATTGTCTCTGCTTTTTAATATACTGTCTAGGCTTGTCATAACTTTTCTTCCAAGAAACAGGTGTCTTCTAATTTCATGGCTGCAGTCACTATCTGCAGTGATTTTGGAACCCAAGAAAATAAAGTCTGTCACTGTTTTCATTGTTTCCCCATCTATTTGCCATGAAGTGATGGAACTGGATGCTATGATCTTAGTTTCTTGAATGCTGAGTTTTAAGCCAGCTTTTTCACTCTCCTCTTTCACCTTCATCAAGAGGCTCTTTAATTCCTCTTTGCTTTCTGCCAGAAGGGTGGTATTATCTGCATATCTGAGGTTATTGATATTTCTCCCAGCAATCTTGATTTCAGCTTGTGATTTATCCAGGCCGGTGATGTACTCTACATTTAAGTTAAATAAGCAGGGTGACAATATACAGCCTTGATGTAGTCCTTTCCCAATTTGGAACCAGTCTGTTGTTCCATGTCTGGTTCTAACTGTTGCTTCTTGACCTGCATACAGGTTTCTCAGGAGGCAGGTAAGGTGGTCTGGTATTCCCATCTCTTTAAGAATTTTCCACAGTTTGTTGTAATCCACACAGGCAAATGTTTTAGCATAGTCAATGAAGCAGATGTGTTTCTTTTTTTATTCCCTTGCTTTTTCTATGATTTAAGATATGGCAATTTGATCTCTGGTTCCTCTGCCTTTTCTAAATCCAGCTTGTACATCTGGAAGTTCTATGTTCACACACTGTTGAAGCCTAGCTTGATGGTATTTGAACAT